ACACAAAGTGCTTTACAGTTTGGTTAAAAACAATCCCGCCGGCCCATGTCCCCTCCCCCCGACCACCCAACAGACCCATCCCAAACCACAGACAAACACACACACGCTCCCATGCACACACACACACACACACACACACACACACACACACACACACACACACACACAAGTAAAACAGTAATACAATGATGAGAGACTTGGCAGGGTTCGGATGCAACCAGTTGAAAAAGCGTCATCCTAGGAGCCGTCTGCACCAGGAGCAGAGAGCCGCCTGTAGCCACAGGGGACGACACAGGATCTAGAGGAGACCCGAAACCGAGGCCCCAGGCCCCCACCAGGTCCAAGAGTCCGACCCCCACAGCCATGCCGACCACCGCTCCCAGTGCAGAGGGCTCCTCCAGAGGAAACACTGGGTAGACTAAAAACAATACAATAACAATACAATATGTAAAACACAAAAATGTGAAACTAAAATGAAACTAAAATGAACTAACACACAATACATGAATAAAAGCAATAGCAATACAATAAATAATAGAAGATAAATAGAATATATAAAATGAAATAGTAAAAACTAATCAAAAGCTAATCTAAAAAGGTGTGTCTTGAGCCTGCTTTTAAAAATATGAACGTTCTCTGCGGCCCTGAGCTCCTCCGGCAGACTGTTCCAGAGACGGGGGCCGTAGTGCTGGAAAGATGCCTCACCGTGGGTGTGTGTCCTGACTTTGGGGATGGTTAGAAGTCTGCTGCCGGAGGAGCGCAGGGGCCGGGAAGGTTCATAGGATAAAAGCAAATCTGAAAGATAAGAAGGCCCAAGACCATTAAGACATTTAAAAACCATTAAAAGAACCTTAAAATCGATCCTGAAACACACGGGGAGCCAATGCAGCGATTTCAAAACCGGTGTAATGTGGTCCCGCCCCCTGGTCTTAGTTAGGACACGTGCGGCCGAGTTTTGGAGTAATTGTAAACCTGAAATGTTCTTTTTGGGAAGACCAGAGAGCAGGGCATTACAGTAGTCAATGCGACTGGTTATAAAAGCATGCATCAGCGTCTCCGTGTTGCCCCGAGAGAGAATGGGGCGGACTCTGGCGATGTTCTTTAGATGATAAAAACCTATTTTTGTGATGTTCTTGATGTGAGGAATAAAAGTCAGCTCAGAGTCAAAGATTACGCCCAGGTTTCTCACTTGTGATGATGGATTAAAAGAGTGTGATTGGAGTTTTGATAAAAGTTTCTCTCTCTGGGCCTCAGGACCGATGACTAAAACCTCAGTTTTGTCCTGGTTGAGCTGGAGAAAGTTTTCTGCCATCCAGGATTTCAGGTCTAAAATGCAGTTAAAAAGAGCATCCATTGGCCTGGTGTCGTCAGGAGACATGGAGATGTACAGCTGTGTATCATCTGCATAGCTGTGGAAGTCAATTCCATGTCTCCTGACGACACCGCCAAGAGGGAGCATGTACAGGTTAAAAAGGACTGGACCTAAAATGGAACCCTGGGGCACACCACATGTGATTTTCTGGACCTGAGAGGAGCAGGTATCCAAACTCACCATGAAGGATCTGTCTGTTAAATAAGAAGTGAACCATTTGTGGACAGCACCAGAGAGGCCGAGGTGTTTCAGGCGGGATAAAAGAATGGTGTGGTCTACTGTATCAAAGGCAGCGCTTAGATCCAGTAGAACCAACACGGTCACCTTTTTAGAATCATTACTTAGTCTAAAATCATTTAAAATCTTTAAAAGAGCAGTCTCTGTGCTGTGGTTCACCCTAAAACCTGATTGAAATTTCTCTAAAATTTGTTGCTGATCTAAGAAGGCATTGAGCTGGGTAAAAACAAGTTTTTCTAAAATTTTGCTTAAAAATGGCAGGTTGGATACCGGTCTGTAGTTGTTAAAATCATTAAAATCTAAATTGCTCTTCTTCAGAAGGGGTCTCACCACAGCCGCTTTGAAGGCTGCAGGAAAGACCCCAGTCTGCAGAGAGCAATTTATCAGGTTTAAAAGCTCCTCTCTAAAAGATTCATAAAATGACTTAAAAAATGGAGTGGGGACTGGATCTAAAAGACATGTGGTGGGCCTCACTGAGGAGAAAACTTTATCAAGCATCTCAGCATCAACCAGGACAAAACTGTCCAGTGTTTCCTCTGGCGAAGACAAACAATCAGATGTGTTAAAAACAGTTGTGCGGTTGGATAAAATGTTACATCTGATTGTGTTTATCTTCCCCGTGAAGTGGACTGCAAAATCCTCACAGAGGGAGTCTGTGGGGGTTAAAAGAGACATGCTAAAATCAGGGTTTAAAATGGTGTCGATGGTTGAAAATAGGACCTTTGGGTTATTTTTATTTTGGTGATTAGCTTTGCAAAGTATTTGTTCTTATGATTTCTAATTGTGTTATTGTATGCTTGAATGAATGTATATAGTACATTTTGCCGGCCCTCATCTTCTACCACTCCCAAGTGGTCTACAGTTGAGTGCAATCCAGCGAGACAGACATGGAATTAGTAACCCTGGTCCTCAAACCAGTCACTTGGTGGAGTGTGGGTTGGGCAGACCGTCCTCCTGGAAAAACGACCATAGAGGTCGATTCTACAGTTCCCAAAAACGACTCTATTTTACGTATGCGACTCCTAGTGGTTTGTATTGAAAAGCTGTCGGCCTAATCTTGGGTGGAGCACACGTGTGACGCATGACGTTTCCTTACGTACGTCCATCAAGTGGTAAACAAGGAAGTTGTTGTTTCTACGGAGGTAAATACATTTGTACCGTTACCTAAATGTTTCGTTATAGCATATTTTAAGAACAGATTATATATTTACCAGAAACAATAACCCTAACCCAACCCTAACCCTAACCCTAACCCTAACCCTAACCCTAACCCTAACTATTGTGAGTGTTGGAGACTGTTAGGAGGATAGAACAGGATGGCGGCTGGTGTGTGCATTGTAATGCGCATTGCGCAATATGACACTTGCGCAGATGAATTGTTTGCAGTTCTGACAGAATGTGATGCTGTTTGTAAACGCGTCCCTGGGTTTGCTGCGTCGCGTGACCATACACTGAAAAATAAGCGAAGCTGCCCAACCAGGCAAAAAAAACGCCCAAATAGACCGATTTCAGAGTTGTGACAATCGACCCATATTGTCGTTTGTGTATCGACCCATATTGTCGTTTGTGTATGAGGACGTGTAGGGGTTGGGTGTGGGTTCTTGTATTCGGAGTCTGGCTAACATCCATGCAAGCTGCTATACAATACGTATTGAGGTGATACCTAGGCTCTATGTGTGTGATATGCAATTCACTTGTTCCATAGCTTGCACCCAACCCCTCTCTCATTGGCACTTTCCTCAGTTCGTTTTTATAACCAAATTTACAACCAAGGCGATCTCATCAGCTTTTAAGTTCATGTTCACCGTTGTTGGTTGTTGTCTGAAGTTGCTAACACTAGTTGATGCTTCCAAATAATCGGTCAGCTGAATTTCATCCAATGCGGAAGTCTGCAGTCAAAATAAAAAAAAACACTTTGTAATGTAATAAATTAAACCACGTTTTTTACTGCTCTGAGCCTGAAATAATTTATTGCAAATGTATCATCTTGGGTAAATTACTGTATATTCTCATTACATGCAGCACACATCTTCATAAAGTATAATCTCTTAACTACCTTGTCACCCCATTAAGAAAAAATGCAAGTATCAGTTGGATTTAGGCTATATCCACACAAAGACAAAACGCTTATAATTTCAGAAACTTTTTCTGTAAACACGGAGTTAGCTCAGTAAATGTGTGCGTCCATATGAATGTAGTCAATACGCCTGAAAACGCTGTGAAACTATGCCAGACCTGTTGGTGGCGCTGTGACGCAATGACGGGATCAAGCCCAAACTTCCGTGGGCATGCGCGGAATTTTGTAAACAGACAACATGGCGAGTGGGCGAGCTGGTACTACATTAGTATGGACGGACGATGAGGTTGAACTGTTGCTTCTTGTCACACTGGATTACAAAACCAACAAGCTACATTGTTGTTGTCATTATTTTCTGAGTGCGGCGCATGCGTGCTTTAACAAGAGGCGGGGCGATGACGCAAGCGTCTCAGATACATTGCGGAGAGGCAGTAACCACGGAGCGGCATATACGGAGTTTTGAAATCTTTCCACTCTGGGACCTAGTTTCAAAAATGTTCGTTTACACCCCCCCAAAACGCCGGCCTCGTATGGACGATACACTGGATTGATAAAGTATTTTTGCGTTTAGGCCTGAGCTTGACTTCGTGTGGACAGGGCCTTAGACTTTTATGATGGACAGGTGACATATAGGTTTAGCAGTGTGATGTGATCATTTGTTCTCTTTGCTATTGGTCAAGTGAGGATTTACGCAGCTCCCCTGATCCATTGCCCTCTGCACAGCTGCGTGATGGGCATCCTGAAGCGCGCTGTGGACTGAGCTGTAATGAAAACAGACCTCTATGGGAGACAATTAGCTGGCCCCACACGCATGACCTTGCCTCTGACCCTTGTGGCCCTTATTACCCGAACCACTCTACGGTGCGCCCCAACGCTTTAATCCTTATTGATCAATACCGCTAAGGCGTCTTAATATCCACATGCAGGCAGCCCTATGGATGCATGTAGTGTGGTGAATTAGTATTGAGCGAAGGTCCAGGTGAAATGAAATGCAAAACATGATGTAATTAATTGGTTATTTGTTTTATGTGTATGAGTTTTGTTAACTGGGGAAAGAACATTTTGAAATTGCTGTAATAGTATATATACTTCTGTTTACACTAGGTTCAGTGATTTGCAAATGTCGTAATATTGAAGACACTTGTTTTTATGAAATTATTATGGTTCGCAGATAGAACCCCAAAGCAGAGGCAGGAGACTGACAAAGTAGAGTGTGATTTTTTTACAACAGTGGAGGAGGCAGTGGAGGCAGGGAGTAGGCCAACTTAGATGGAGCTATAGACAGGAGACAAGGAACGGGATGGGGAAGCAGGGATGAGACACAACCGGAAAAGAAGAGAGGAGGAGCAGCAGGTGAGAATAAAGAAATCCACATAACACAAATAAGATCTACAGTGCCTTGCGAAAGTATTCGGCCCCCTTGAACCTTTCAACATTTCGCCACATTTCACGCTTCAAACATAAAGATATAACATTTTAATTTTTTGTCATGAATCAACAAGAAGTGGGACACAATCGTGAAGTGGAATGAAATTTATTGGATAATTTAAACTTTTTTAACAAATAAAAAACTGAAAAGTGGGGCTTGCAATATTATTCGGCCCCTTTACTTTCAGTGCAGCAAACTCAGTCCAGAAGTTCAGTGAGGATCTTTGAATGATCCAATGTTGTCCTAAATGACTGATGATGATAAATAGAATGCACCTGTGTGTAATCAAGTCTCCGTATAAATGCACCTGCTCTTTGATAGTCTCAGGGTTCTGTTTAAAGCGCAGAGAGAACCATGAAGACAAAGGAACACACCAGGCAGGTCCGAGATACTGTTGTGGAGAAGTTTAAAGCCGGATTTGGATACAAAAATATTTCCCAAGCTTTAAACATCTCAAGGAGCACTGTGCAAGCAATTATATTGAAATGGAAGGAGTATCAGACCACATGATCACTCTGGATGAACTGCAGATAACTACAGCTGAGGTGGGGATGGTGTGTTCAGGGTGATGAGCTGTGTTGCTTTTACGCCAAACATATCGTTTTGCATTGTGGCCAAAAAGTTTGATTTTGGTTTCATCTGACCAGAGCACCTTCTTCCACATGTTTGGTGTGTCTCCCAGGTGGCTTGTAGCAAACTTTAAACCAGACTTTTTATGGATATCTTTGAGAAATGGCCACTCTTCCATAAAGGCCAGATTTGTGCAGTGCACGACTGATTGTTGTCCTATGGACAGACTCTCCCACCTCAGCTGTAGTTATCTGCAGTTCATCCAGAGCGATCATGGGCCTCTTGGCTGCATCTCTGATCAGTCTTCTCCTTGTTTGAGATGAAAGTTTGGAGGGACGGGCGGGTCTTGGTAGATTTGCAGTGGTATGATACTCCTTCCATTTCAATATAATTGCTTGCACTATGCTCCTTGAGATGTTTAAAGGTTGGGAAATCTTTTTGTATCCAAATCCGGCTTTAAACTTCTCCACAACAGTTTTATTTGTTAAAACAGTTTAAATCATCCAATACATTTTGTTCCACTTCACGATTGGGTCCCACTTGTTGTTGATTCATGACAAAAAATTAAAATTTTATATCTTTATGTTTGAAGACTAAAATGTGGCGAAACGTTGAAAGGTTCAAGGGGGCCGAATACTTTCGCAAGGCACTGTATGTAACACAGGAGCTTGGACCCACTATCGTCTGAAACGGAATAATCTGGCAAAGTGGTGAACAGACGGTCTTGATATGCAGAGGCAGAGTGAGGAATGAAATGCTGGTGTATCTCGTCTACTGCACAGGTGAAGCCGGCTGTGCCCCCTGCCCCACACATGCCCTGCAAAACAAGAGGGAAGGGACAACACAAACGCTAGATCCTAACGTACATAGCAATGAATGTATATAGTAGGTTAAAGGACCGCTATGGCCCTTTTCTTGAAGAGTACAATAGAATACAATTTATTCGTGTATAGCCCTAAATCTCAACAGTAGTCAATACCATTGAAATCACCAACACAGATCAGAGAATCAACAGTTTAGGCACAAAAAAGAATATAGAACACATGTTGAGAGGTGTCCATAGATGTTGTAGAATGTTAAAGTGTCCTGGATCATCACCTCAGTCCTTTTTATTAGACACTAACAGTCCAACAGACCCTCCTGCATCGGCAAGGAAAAACTAAAAAAAAAATAGTAGGAAAAAAAAAGTGAGAAACCTCCGGGAGACCCAAATTTGAGAGGGATCCGACCCGCCTGGGGTCATCATGTTATGCAAACAATTATGTTTTTGCGTTCCTGTAATGTTCCACAATCCGCTGAACGTAGCTGTACCCAATAATCGATTAATAGCGACTAATCAGGTCTCGTAAAATGGTCTTTATAGACTTAGACACATTGGTTTGGTTGAAATGTGATGTCACATAAAACATATTTATGAATTGTGATAAACGAAACAAAAAACAGTCTGATCAAGATGTCCGGTGGCTTCACTTCAGCTTTATCTGTGTCAAAATTGAGAAGAATGCGAAATGAGAGAAGACCCACCTCCAGACCTATCTGTTTGGAACATGTTCTCCTGTGTCTGCATATATTTCATGACTCGTTTAGCACTGTGCAAAATGTAAAAGACAACTTTTCATAATTGAACAGAATTGGCAGTGTAGAAGGTGTGTAACAGAAGTGAATGACAGTAATCCCCCAAGAGGCAGCTGCTGTGTGCCAGTGAAATATGTGTGAGAAATGACATAGTTTCCCTGTTTTTTGTTAGTCATTGTTTCCTGCAGCTCCAGTCTATTACTCAAGCTCCTTGCTGCTGCCTGTTTACTGCCACATATGTGCTGATATAAAAAGCTCTTCTTATCCTTGTTGTATCTCTGCTGCAACTCTAGGAAGTGGAAAATCATTCCTGCAGTGTATGCTGACCAGGGTCTTGGGAATGGGGGGGCAAAAATGCATGCATTCTCTATTATTTACTGTATATGTTATTGTGCAATGCAAAGTCTTACTAAGGCGAGTTTATCCATCCAATCCCTGTCTGCAAAAACAGTCATGACCTTCCGCCTAAATCACATTACTAACAACGGACGGCGCCTGTCAGACACCACCGCAGCAGCACATCATTACACTATAGGAGCTGCTGGGAAAATGGGAATTCTCCAAAAAAAGATATGCTGCTAAAATGTATTTGGCTTGAGACAGTTCATACTGTATGTAATTATTGTGTTTTCACTGTTTAAAGTTTGAACACAAAATGTCTGAGCTAAAATTTGACCTCTTAGGTTTTGGCCATGTTATATTTGTTTTTCCTCGTCATTTACACACACAAAGCTGTTTTGGCGCATGCATGTGTGAGTTATTTTTTAAAGTCATTGTTTGAGCCTCAGTCCTCAACACCTGGCACCTCCCACAGGTTTCATTTACTGTACATTCTGAGTCCATGTTATGTGGGAGGATTCACCCGCCCTGCATGGTCATTTTGCTCCAAGGATATGGATATATCGCCTCACAACCTTGTCTGCAGAGGAACAGAGCTGCATGTTATACTGACACCTCAATGGGACAGAGCTACGGAACATAAAGGGATTGAAGGATGAATCATACATTTTATAAAGTGCCACAGGGGTCATAGATTATAGAGAACAAAATTGCATTTTATGTTCCTTAAAGAAAATAAAAACTACACATAACTATTACTATGTCTTTAAACAATGTGATTGGTTAGCTGCATCAGCTACATTTGGGTTGGCAACCTGGATCACTCTTTGAACACAAGATCATTGAGTTTTAAACATCTAGTACAAGAACTGAACTAAGAAAGAAGGCGTATGGATAAGTTTCACAATACATGACAAATATATTGTTCTAAAACAGTAAAAAAGTAAAGTAAAAATTAAAATATATATATATACTGTATATATATACAAATGGATTGAGAACAGATTTTTCAACTGAAGTTTGTAACTTGAAAATAATAAAAAATCCTCTCCATAATGTATTAATTTATTTGAACTATACTTAAAATTGAAAGTGCCATGTGATCAATGTATCCAGTATGGATAGTAATTTTTTATTATTATCATATCAGCCTGTTGGAGTTTCTTTGTGTAATCCAATGTTTGTCTCCCAACTAATATTGTCGCCTTCATATTAAGAGGAGCTGCAATTTTATTTGGCTGTATAATTTTTCCCACCGCCTTGTCATAAACAACCTATATAGTGTCCAGTCGACAGCTCCTGTTTGGTAGTCGCTTCTTAATTTAAATTTTAATTGGATGCTCTTTCATCTGAAATCAGGTGACAGCGCCCCGATTCGTCCGGGGGATACACAATGGACAAGCTCATTTCTTGTAAATGAAGTCTTGTGGGCCTGGCAAGGCTTGTGACAATACTCCCAATCTCTTCCAACTCATCACTGCTCTTCTCTTGATATTAGTGCTCCATATTCAGCCTATTATTACTTATCGCAGTGAACTTATTCATATCAGGGCCTGAAAGCTGATCAAGGGGCTCGGTTTGTCTTTGCAGCAAGTGCTTGGTACTTTGTTGTTTTATCTTGGCATGTGAATGAAAAAGGCTTAAGGGTAAAAGACAATGCGGTTTCAACTCATCTGGCCGCTTTATGTGGAGGCATTATACTGCACCAGTGAGACAAAGGAATATTTTATCTGACAGGGCCACTCTGAAGCTGGAAAAGACATGGGCAGTGGTCAGCAGCACTTCTTGTTTACGTTGAACAGGCTGAGGGTACTTTCACGCTTACAGTTAGTCCAGAGCTCCGCAGAACGGCTTTTAACAGGAACCAAACAACGTGAGCACATTTCTCTGGTTTTAGCTTCTTTGCACTGGCTTCCTGTTAATTTTAGAATTGATTTTGAGATGTTATTGTTTGTTTTTAAAGCTTTGAACAGACTGGCCCCTTCTTATATCTCGGACCTCATTCAAATGTATCACCCGCTCCACGCCTTCTCTGTGGCTGGACCAAAGTTGTGGAACGCTCTGCCACATCAAAACAGCTCCCTCATTGGAATGTTTTAAGTCTCGTCTTCACGCATTTTTACTCTCTGGCTTTTAACACTGTGTGAGTTGTGTGGTCCTATTTTTGTTTTGTTTTGTTTTATTGTTTTTAGTTTTTATTATTATTTTTAAATTGGATAACTAGAATTTTTTTTTTTTTTATTATCACTTTTGTATTGTTTTTACTTTTCACATAATGTTTTAATTCTAGTTTTATATTTTGTTTTTATTTTTTTAAACATAAGGCTGGCAAACCTGCATATTTAAATGTGTTGAATGTGCTATATAAATAAAGTGGATTGGATTATTAGTTATTTTTCAGGCAATGACATTGATATAACAAAATCCCTTGTAACTGTATAAGCATATTGATTGTTCACTTATTTTTGAAAGTTTGGCAAAACAGTCAGATTTTGAGACCTCATTACCAAAAGAGTGAATATTACTTACTTTCTACTACAAAAAAAATGTAACAAAGCTAACTGGTTCCTTGCATATTTTGGGTATATCATTAGGTTTCTCATGCCATTTCTTAACATTGATCACCTTTTAGACAAGCTTTCTAAATTAAACAAAAAAGTGAAAAAGAGACCACTCTTGTTTATCCAATCAAATCTTAGCCCAAAGCATCAAATCGAATTCTTGTTTTTCGAACAAGTACTGTATGCAAAAAAAGATACAATGCTTTTTCTCAAGACATTATGTTGAGGTCTGATTTATTCAAACATGTTTTACTTGTACAGGAGGCTTTCTGTTGGGACAATCCAAATGTATTGTCTATGAAAAATAAAAAAAAGATCACATTTGCAGTTCCACTTTTGGGACATTGGCTGGTATAGGTTCCTCCAGTAGACCCTGTTGCTTTAACAAATCCTGGAGAGAGAGATTACTAGTGTGACCTACATTTCTTTGGCATTATACCCCCAGCCTCTTTCTTTCTATTGGCTAGTCGATCAAAAGTGCAGGATTATGGCTCTATGGAGTTGCCTGTACAAAAAGGGGATTAAAAGTATTCTTTTAAGTTTTAATATTGTAACCGCATTCTGCCTGTGTTAATCAATGTTTTTGTTGTTTTTAGGTTGGCCCACATAAGCGGTGCTGTCTGAACATTGGCTTCGGGCTTCTGCAGATGACACATTCTGAGAAGCATGTAAAGGAGGATAAGAGCTAGGACAGAGGAGACATGGGGACCCTATTGTTTGGTGTAATTGGAGTCCTGACTACCTTTGTACTGTGCTTTATCCACATGCACCACTGTCAGTCGCTCTGTAGCAGGCAGAGCTCTACTGAATGGCTTCCAAAACAACACAAGGTGCAAATGAATTGGACCCCGGTAGGGAAGATCTGTAGGAGCTTTCCTCAGTGTTTGGAGTCTCACTTGGCGAACATTTTACCAAGAGCAAAATACCCGCAGTTATGTCCTCTCCAGCTGCAGTATGGAGGCACACTTCTCATGGCGGCTGATGAAACACTCAAACAATATGGCTTCAGAATTCTCCATGTGTCAGAATCTGACTTTGAGAGCTGTACATCTACACTGACAAAAGACCAGTTTCTGTTCCCACATAATCTGAATGGAAACTTGGAAGTTGAGGCCAAGTGGCTGGTACCAGGAAATCATTATTTCATAGCTGTTCATGATCAAGACACCCATCTGTGCACACTGGGCCTGAGAATCAACATTACGGTAAAGACTCAACTATGCCAAGCGTCTCCGCTGCAGCGGATTTGTTCTGGAAATGGTATTTGTCAAACAGGGCTGTGGGAGAAAACATACCGCTGCATTTGTCGTCACCAGTATTTCGGACGCTTCTGTGAGAAGTTTGACGTGTGTTTAAATAACCCGTGTGAAAACAAAGGCATCTGTCTGAGCGATGGAACATCAGAACTGCATCACAGGACCTATAAATGTCTTTGTCCCCCACATTTTACTGGTGAGCACGATATACATTACATTGCATTATGAAACATGGTATTACTCCTCCAGTCATCATTGATGATATAGTTGTTTGCAAAAACTAGGGTTTATTAGGAGACGACCACTTATCAACCTATATATATATATGTATGTTTAGTTTATATTCAGTTTGGTCAAAATCCACTTAAATATTTTTTTTGTTAAATCTAAGTTAGTTAAACCATCATCAAATACAAATCTTATCTTCTATACAAACCTTATACCTGCTAAGAGGTCTGTGCATCGCAGCCTTTGGCTAAATGTATGTAATAGTCCAAATTAAATTAAAACTTGGGCTAATCCTTGCTGCTCGCAGCTATATTGATCTTATTATTATTAAGCCATGTATTGCATAGTTCATAGTTCAATATATATTTTGTATATAAGATAAAAAGGTTCTTCATGACCTCTCAGCCTAACCAGTCTTTGTTCTCTGTTTTATTTTCAGGGGTGACCTGCTCAGAAATTATTGGAAGAGAAAACTGTGAAAGGCTTTGTGAAGATGGGTTGTGTGTTCAGGTGTCTGCAAGTTCCTTCAGCTGTAACTGTGACAAACAAAGCTCCGGTAAGTTCCCCTCTGCTTGTTAAACCTAAACCAGAAATTACAGTCACGTATTCTTCCTTTTAATTTTGTTAATTCAAACAGTCAGTAAAATATATAAAAGGGATTTGTTATGTCTGTCTACTTATTTTTCTGAAAACAAGGAGTAAATAAAATAGCTCGTAAGTGTGGGGGGCTGAGCGCTGTAATGTGTCACTGACATGTACTGATCTGGTGGCAGAGGCACGCATGGCACGCACTCCATTCCCCAAAGCCCTGTGCCTCCAGGTCATATGCACTCTGAATAAACTGATTAATGCAGTTTGTCCATAAATGATTTAGGACATGCTTTTGAATACAAGCATACAATACTGGTAATTGTGTGTTTTTTGACAGCAGTTAGACTTAGGCAAACTTTATTGATTGAAGGGAAATTACTTGTACACAGTAAAAAATGGTGTAACTTTGCTTTCTTCGCCATCCGTATTGTTCATGCAACATTTTCCATCAGTAATTATAAAGTCCATTGTGAAGGCTTTGTTGCATTATTTTACAATTTAAAAAAATTCTTTAAAGTATGAGCAGCAGGCATGGGTCAGTTCAGTGATTCTCAATGACCCCAAAGTCGATATCTGGCTGTGGTTAGTTTTTTCTGTAAAAGCGGACACTGGGAAACACATCCTTTTTAATTTATAGGCTTATACTAAATACGTCAATTACCCATCATTACGTTTTGGTTGATCTCTTAAAGGATAGAGCAACAGCAAAGGGACAAACCCTTTACGTGATCAGAAATGCATCAGTAATTCTGTTGAATGTAATGTAAGGTGTAACACGCCAGAAATACTTGGCATAGTTAATCTGGACACTGTGTCTAAGATATTGATTCATTAATTTATGCAAATCATATGTTTTTTTGTTTTTTTTCTCTCCAATATCAGTGTTGTTAATGTCAGCTTTTTGTTTGATATTCAAATCTCAGCTAATTATTTGGGGTGAAGATAGGGCATAGAGATTTCTTAATGACACATTCGCTCTTCAGCCATTAGGTAACAAACTTGCACTTGCTCCAGTATCAGAGGTAGGTTAATTACTGTGACACACAAACGATGTAAGTCTGGCTGTTGCCCTTGATATCGCTGTCTAGTGTACGACCAAGGTGCACTGAACCTTCTCAAGACAAACTCCAGCTGGCTCCTTTGTGATTCATTGTTTGGTTGGAACACCATTTGTCCTGGCACCATCCGAGAACTGTCATAAGTTTGCATCTTCCTTTGTTTGTAGATCAGGTTTGAAGGTTGTTCCATCCATAACTTCAGTTTAGCTTATTTTTTTGTGCAGTTTGCCAAAAATACAACAAATGCTTTAGGACAAATTAGGTAGGGTATATTTGCCTGCCAGTAATGTATTTCCCATATACAAATGCCACATACATACAAGATAAATCTTAATTCTTTCCTCAGTGAAGATATTTCAATGTCATTGTTGCGCACATTACAGTAGAATAAAAGAGGAAAATAAGAGCACTCAGGTCATGCACTCATCGACCAGAATCTATTTAAAAAAAATAAAAATAAACATGATAAAAGTGAGGTATAATTAAACTTGTAAGTATGCACTATGGACTCTTAGTGTGGGCTTGCTAAAAGACATAACAGCGTGTACATTTTAAGCTCATGTTTTTCTGCACAACCTGATTTTCTCTTGTTTAAAAAATATTTTTTGAGATGTTAGTTATATGGTTACACAGCCTCTTATTTTGCCTTTTATCCACTCAGCGGCACGGTGGCTGAGTGGATAGCACTCTCGCCTCGCAGCAAGAAGGTCCTGGGTTTGAATCCCGGTCGGACCAGGGCCTTTGTGAGTGGAGTTTGCATGTTCTCCCCGTGTCTGCGTAGGTTTCCTCCAGGTACTCCGGTTTCCCCTACCACTAAAAATATGTACAATAGGTCTGGCATGTGCCTCCTGTACTGGCGACCCTGCTCCCATCTCTGTGTGGAGTGAGAGACAAATACCCAAAAATAACAATTGTAAACTGCTTTGTGACTTTGATCTGTGAAAAGCGGTATATAAATAAACATTACTTACTTATTTAGATACCCCCATAGGGTGCTATGTTGTCCATGAGCATGTGCATTGAAAGAATATAGTAAAAGTCAATAGGAGCTGATGATGTTGCTTCTTCTAATGTGCTTTAATTGGTGATGTTGTGAGGAGCATATTCCCGGTGTCCTGCTGTCCCATCAGCTTCTTGGGGGTTCTGTTATGGAGCTGGAGTTTGCTGTACCTCCGGCTGCAGTCGCCTCATTAATCAAGTGAAGTTAGTGGCTGCTCCAGCGCTGGCTGCCCTCACAGGCCAAAGTCTATGCGCACAGAATAATGAGCCAAACTCATGGGACGTTTCAAATGAGATTTTCTTTTGATTTGATTCCTCTGGATCAGCCCAAGGGTGTTTGTTGTGGGTTGTTACCACCGTCTGAGGGCAGTTTTCAATCACAATTAGGTGTTAATTGTTATGGAACTTTGGTTGCAGTAATATTACTATAAGATTACTGATTTTCAAATATCGATAAGATAGAAATGGTTCACTTCAGCGCATTAATCTAGTAAATGCATAATATGAGCTTGAATAATGCAAAAAATGTATGTCTTATTTAATTTGATTTAATAAAATGTATAGTAAATTAGCTTGAGCATGTTTTATACTTAGTTAACCAAGAAATCCAAGAAATACAAAATTAAGTTAACAAATTCAGTAGAACTTTAAGACAAAACTCACTTTCTTGCGGACAATAAAAAGTGCAGCATACGGCAGCCTGTGGTTGCACTGCACAGTAAGATTGATGCCCACAGAGGAGGCTACCCGAGGCCTTGGGGACGCGGGAGCTTGTATCAGCAGGGGATTAAAGAAAAATATGCAAAGAAAGATGTGCCGGTAAGATAAATGTGTAGCCCCTTGTGAAGAACACAAAACTGAAAAGGCCCTCCTGGGAATACCATCAAATTTTACTCACCTTGAACCTGCTGCGGATTCGAGCTAAAATTATCCTTTGCATACAATATGACAGAATGTGAGAATTGTTGGTTCATAATATTAATGTTGAGTGGTCTCTACAAACATGACATAAGGAATGAATGCAGTATATATTTAGTAGTTGGTGGGTGAGTTTTATTGTATATGAACACGTCAATTCAATTCATTATTAATAGTATTTACTTAAAGTATTAAATGATTCGCCTAAACCAACTGTATTTATTGGAAATTATCAATACATCCCAACAGTGGATCTTGAGAGTTGTGTTAATGCTAAGCAGGGTGGACTACCAAGCCTCATTATGATGCTTATCCATGACTTCATTTATATTTTATGCCATGTGTCCCCGACATCAGTGGATGCCAGCGACGATGGATCCGCTGCAGCACAAACCGTCATATAAACACACAGCATGAAGCAAAACATCCAGAGACACAGCCGTTGTCTATCTCAAGGACTAGTGTTGGAGGGCACACACCCAGAGCGCTGTTTAAACCTCCTCCGAGCGCTGCCTTTGTTTCGGTCACATATGAACCCAATTATTTGCTTGTCTTTTTCTCAAACATGCATTCCAGTCAAACCGTTGCTGCTTGGTATCTGAGTTTGTTGTTGTTTTTTTTGTGTTTTTTTTTTTTTGTCATACAGAACAAAGGGGTAACAATTGACCAAGAGCTTGAGATAGTTATGTTGATAGTTTGAATTCCATGCTCGTTCCTATATATGTGTCCTTGGTAAGGAATTCACTACAAACAATGCCTCAGTGAGTGGAATGGCAGTCACAACTCAGTCAGACTGCCCAAGGACAGCTCAGGGTATGAGTACATGAATACAACTTGTTTGTTACTATATTTCCATGGTGGCACGGTCACTTTTTCTGACTTTTAATTATTATTATTTTTTACCTATTATATAATTGGTTTCCCTCTTTCTTCTTTTTATACCAAGTTATATTAAGACTGATTTGCAAGGTTTTAACCTTATTATCTTGCAATGAAAAAATTGACTTAGAATTTTAAATGTGTGAAAACCAGATGGCTGTAGTCAAACACAACTTCTTTCAGCTTTGGATGCTGAGGAAAATGAACCACCAAATGCAAATACAATTTTGACCTGACTTAAAGGCAATATCTGTAGTTCACCACATGCACCTGTATAACAATGTCTTAATAACATGCTCAGCTTTGCTAGGACCACCTTTGTTGTAGGATCTGGTGCATCAACACGAGGTGGTTGTTCTTGTGGCATTGGAAGGATGGATCAAATGCAGAGAACTTGCCCACAGGGTTAAAGTAAAGCACAATTTTAGCAAAATATCTAATCACCATAATAAAAACGTAATATGCTTTTTAAGTCAAATTTTAAAAAACTTACATTTTGTTCAAAAACAAATATACCTAATACACAATTGTCACACATTTCAGAATGTTTATAGTTCTAACCAAGTTCTAACCTTTCTTTTTTTTGTAATGAAACAAAATATTAATAAATAAGGTTCATAAATGTATGTAATGGTATACATTTAGTGTTATTAAGTAGTTAATCAGATATAAGTTGTTTGACAATTTATAGACATTTTGACAAAATTGACAAATCTATAATGTAATCAAGATACAGTAAGTGTTCCTGAAATCAAGTGTATTTTTCAAATCAATATTAACAATACAAAAAAAATGTTTTTGTTTGCCAAGAATTTGAATAATTGTAGCCTTTGCAATTTGCTAATTGTGAACTAAACTCAGAATATTCACAAGATGTAATTATCAGAAAATACTGATAAAATACTGAAAAACCCATTTAGTGTGCAGTCGCTGTTCTCAGACCCTCATTTGCAAACTGAGAATTTAGGAGCACAAACCTCCATGGAGCTGTTCTTTGACCAGATATGATGAATTTCTTTTATCTGAAATCTGAAAGAAAGTAACAGATTTTATATTGGTTTGCCATTGCACGCCAGTTCTTGCAATAGTGGATTTGTGCTGTCATCAGTCAAAGAGAGAGATAAGAGCTTGACAGCTCGCCTTTGACAGTGTTTATAGTTGATTTTACATGGTTATGAGAAGATTTGTTTGGCTTGTACACAGGGAGAGATGGAGGGCTCTGACTCGCTCCCACATCTAGAATGATTAAACATGTCAATCTAGGCATCCTCAGTGAATTATGAATCACATCTCCAGCGTCTTTCTAGATATTAACTCTCTTTCAAATGGCTTTGATGTAATTTTCTACTTGTCCCTTGTTAGTTTTTCCTATTAGCCACTTAGAGTTAAATAGTTTAAAGCGCATTGGATATGCTTGTTGTGGAGAAGTCCTTTATTTGACAATGTTTTACCGCAATACAATTTGTTGTTTTGACTAAGCAAAATGAGAAAGTATAACATACATTTGTAAGATTGCACATACAGTAAAAATCCTCTATTTTAAGCCTAGCGTACATCGACAGAGTAACTGGAGACAACTAGTCAAGGCGGCTTTTGGCAACTGAGAGTAGATGATGGGAGATGATCAGTTGCTGAAATCGGTTGATGTGAGCGCTCTTACAACTGGAGATAAACAGTCGATCTCCAGTTTCAGTCAGTTGCCCGTGTTCTACTTTTCTGCAACTAGTTGTCCTCAGACCCGGAGATATCACCCGATGTGCCCGCTCCTAATAGATCCATGGCGCGCTCCAACAACTAAGTGTGTATTGCGTGTATTGCGCGCCCTCTACAGTTTATACCAGAAAACACACTGTAGTTGACGGCCAGTTGCTGTCGATGTACGCCCTGTTATTCCCGAGACTGGCCTGCTACTAGGAGTTTCCCGTTTTCGCCACATTGTCGATATGTGCGGGGCAGCAACTCATATGCGACGGATATAATCAGTTGCCAGTCCAATGTACGCTAGGTATAAGGCATATGTGTGAAAGTTACACAATGACTAACCTTAAAAAGTAAATACATTGTATAAGTGTGTGACGATGTAACATACGGAAAATATTTGCAGGAATCGAATGGTTCGAGAACATTGAACTTTTGTTTGCAGTATGTCCAAAAGCTGTTTAATATATTGCTTCATCTGTTAACGTTCCACAGTATTTTTCATGCTTTATTTACAGAAAGCCCCTAATCTTGTCGAGACAATGGAACACATGTTCTTGGAGATATTTTGTCAATCTCACAACCCCTAATCTCTCCAGCTGGGTCTGATTCCACCTCCCAGGCCTTTCTTTTTGGAGTTTGCATGTTCTCCCCGTGTCTGAGTAGGTTCCCTCTGGGTGCTCCAGTTTCCTCCACCACAAAGAAGTGTGAGTGGGACTGAGGGACAATGGATGCAAATAAACCCAGTTACAATCAGGAATGTTCTTTTTTTTTTTTTATAAGCCATGTTTATTTTGAGCAAATAAGTGTACAAGAAATGCAATGTTTTCATTAACATGCACTCCATCCATCCATTTTCTTCCCCCTAATCCAGAGGTGTCCAGAAAGGCTCGCTGTGGCTGCAGGTTTTCTATCAGACCCAGCAGGAGCAGAGCAGACTCCACCCATTTAATCAAATCTTCAGGTTAAGGCCCAGTCCCAATACTCGCACTTCCACCCTCGCGCCCCTCATTTGCGCGTTCCCGATGATGGGTGCGCGTGCGCAGGGCGTCCCAATTCTCCAGAGAGGTCTTTAGCCCCGCCCCCTTTGCTCCCCTGATCCACACTTCGCCGTGTGGATCTATGCGGACTTTGGCGAAGGATATTGCCCATAATTCTTTGCGGTACACACCAAAACGTTTTAAAATATATATGCTGTATGTGTGTAAATAAGTTTTGCTGTGTTACTTGGAAAGAGGCATAAATGTCTGATGAAGAATTACGGACATTGTATTTAAACCATTTAATAACTTTTTAAAGCAAGCATTCATATAACATTCAATTTAAACTTTACACTTAGTACAATAAACTTAGGATGTATAAAAACTGACCAGATAACAGTTAGTTACCCACATTTAACTTAAAATTATACAGCTATCTCAAATTACAAATAACCAATATACATTTATTTTAACGTGTGTGGAGCAACTCATTTTGCTTCCCACAGGGTCAGACAAAATTACATTTAATGTTTATAAAGTTTAGGTCTGAAAATGACCATCTCTTGACGAGTCGATGACGTAAACCTGCACTCAGTGTGCACTGTCCCAATTCCGCCTTTTTTGCACGCTTGTAACCTCTGCACTCAAACAATTGCGTGCACTTTAAACACCGTAGTGGTACACCTCTACGAAGGTGCACCTCTACCTTCGTAGAGGTGTGTAGGGTGCAGTGTGGGTATTGGGATTGGGCCTAAGACTGAACTCACTTGAGGAAATGGGCGGAGTCTTCGCTGCTCCTGCTGGGTCTGATAGAAAACCTGCAGCCACAGCGGCCCTTTCTGGACCAGTTTGGACACCCCTATCCTAATCCATTTCTGGGTCAGGGGGCGGCAGGCAGAGCTGCACCCTGTACCCAGAGCCCCAGCTCCTCACTGATCCTCCTGCAGGTGGTGAGTCCACATGAGGAAGGCTGCTCTTGTCTGAACTGCCTTGATCTTTCAGCAGGGGCTTCAGGCAAAGTGGGGTAAAGTGTCTTCTCGCCCAAGAACTCAACAACAGCAGAAATTAGTGGGAGTTGGTGGAGATGGTCTCGTGGTGGGCTTGAAGCCACAACGTTAATTCTCAAAGGCCAAGGCTCTACCAACTTAGCCACTGTCACCCCTATACACTATCCCAACCAAATAAAACAATAAATAAAATAAAACAAAAAGAATAGCCAAAAAACCCATCACCACATCTTGAATAGAATATTTCTTAGTTCATATGAAGAAATATTATTTTTCATTAATTTGAATATTTCTTATTCATTTTGTTTATATTAATATAATGTACCCTATCCTTCCAACATTTTAAATCTGATGTATCAGGTACACAAACAATCACAGAAAAGGAATGCGTAGTTTTAGATCAGTTGTCTCTTTATTAGTCCCTATTAGACACAAACCTAATATCATCTTGTTGTCTTGTTTGCAGACCCACCTTGTCACCAGAGGAAGTGTGATCCCAGTCTCTGCAGTAATGGAGGCACATGTGTGGAGGGACCCAGAGGATTTATCTGCCATTGTCCTGAGACATTCAGTGGCGTCCGCTGTGAGTTCCACACCACCTCAAACTGCTCGTCTTCAGCATGTCATCAGGAACCGCTGTGCACTCCCGGAGAGCGTGTGAGGACTTAATATTCCTTATTTATTTTATCTCCATGGGACATAAACAGGCATCGGCACATAAAAATTAATACTTCGTTTTGAAACTAGATCAAATAGGTTCAATTTGAAGGCTGCAAGACCAATTAATATTTCCTCTAGAAGATGAGCGGAGGAGAGAGAGAAGCTTCTGTGGTTTGGATTGAGCAACCCAGTGCATATTTAAGTGTTGAATTGAAACGGAGCCCTTCAAAAGCTTTTTGTAAAGGGGTGCCTAGTGCAATTTTCTCCGTTCACTGCAAATGTTATGTGGCCATACATCTCACAAAAGCTTTGACATTCAAAAGGCGTCACACAATGAAGTAGAATAATGGTGTAATTGTCTTATCTTGACCTTTGAGACTCCAAGCAGCAAGTTCTGTTTTGCGTTATTAAACTATAATGAAAATGCTCACATAGATGAACAATTAATGATTACTCTTTTGAAGTACAAAAGAGTAATCATTGATAAGTACAACTTTATGGCAATTAATTGGCAAAAATGTTAAATGTCAAAAAATAAATCAAACTAAGTTAAATAGAGAAAGGACATCACACTAACGCAATTTAGAGAAATGAATGAAGGAATGAACCCTTTATTACAGACTCTTGATTCAAAATGAAGATGCAACATATAGTAAAATAATCTTGATATGAAATGTATTCAAACAATTCGGAATAATTTACATATTTTAGTATGTTAAGAACAGCCAAGGAGGAAAAAATAATTAGTTGTTTCAATTGTGCAATCAGCGTCAATTTATTCATTTTTTTTTCCTTTTGTGACCCTTTTTTTGCAGATGTCTCAGTGCACCAGTCGCCAACACTCTCTCTGCAGCCCTTCCCCGTGTCTCAACAATGCCACCTGCGTGTCCAAGGGAGGTGACTACATCTGCAGGTAAAAATTAGAAAAAAGGGTTAAATGCAAAGAACACACACATACACGCATACATACAGTGGGGCAAAAAAATATTTACTCTGCAACCAATTTTGCCTATACGTTTCATAATAGGTACAGCTACCTCAGCTATATGAGAGACAAAATGAGCACAAAATCTAAAAAATCCTATTGATGATTTATAAAGAATTTATCTTATCTTATTTCAATGCTCATTTTCTACGCTTTGACAAGGGCTCGACTTAATAGCCACATTCCACTCTCTACGTTCTGCTTTATGTTTGTGGCTGTTTGCAACCGGATAGAAGAATATCCTGAATATCCTGAATATCCTGATTGATTACAAAATCTATCAATCAACATGTTTATTTCAAAAGAGAAAAGACAGAACAGCAGACAGTTTTGAAAAGAGTGGGATGAAGCAGAAACTTCCAAACACTTATAAACCTACCTTAACCACTGAATATAATTTGGAACAAAATAAACAAGTAAAAATGTCTCTAATATGACTATATATTGATCAGCGCTCTATCTGGTGAAAATTCAGGGCTGTTAACTAAACCCACAATCAAAAGAAGGGAGCCATTTCCTCTCTGATGCTTTTATTTTTGAGAGGCTGTAACTGAGTGGAAAAAATAGTACTTCGCTATTGTAAGTAAGTAAGTAAGTAATCTTTATTTATATACCGCCTTTCACAAACCAGTGTCACAAAGCGGTTTACAATTGTATTGGGCATTTGTCTCCCACTCCACACAGAAAGAGAGGTCACCAGTACAGGAGGCGCATGCCAGACCTATTGTACATGTTTTTAGTGGTAGGGGAAACCGGAATACCCGGCGGAAACCTACGCTACACCGAGAGAACATGCAAACTCCACTTAGAAAGGCCCTGTTTGAACCCATAACCGTCTTGCTGAGAAGCGAGAGTGCTATCCACTGCGTGTACAATTATTGTATAATTGTACTTCAGGGTTTTACTATTTTACTGAACATGAAGCACTGAAGATTTGCACATCTGCAGTGTCATTATTGAAAGTTAAATAATTTGCTTATATATTAGGGCTTGGAGTAACAGCAAATTGGCACACAAACGCCGATGGATGAAATATGACAAAATAAATATATTTTCTATTGACACATTCTTGATTGCCACTTTTTAAATTGCCACTTTTTAAATTTCCACTTTTTATTGTACATAATATACCCTGCATTTAACATATTTGCACATTTCTTGGTTTTTGGAGTGTTTCTATCCATGCCAGATGTGATGTGTAAATGTCTCCTGCGTGAGATCAATGAAGTATATCTTATCTTATCTTAACATTGAGTTAAGGTACATATCCTGTTAGTGTGCTTTTAAAAAGCCCTTAATCAGACCATGTTTTATACTTAGCATATTTAAAGTAAAGTCTTACATGAAACCAAACACAATAAACATAAACAATAATTACTGCAGCTCTGTAACTATCAGTTTGGCAGCTGAGGTCAGATTGTAATGGGCACACATGGCCCTACTTCCCAAAGAGGTCATAAAGAAAACAACATTATGTCCCAGTTTATCTTGTAAACAAATCAAAATGGCTTGTTAGGTCGGCTGGCTCTGAATTAATTCATTTTGACGACACGACTTTCCCTCTCAACAGATGTCTGAGAGGATTTTCCGGGAAGAATTGTGAAGAAATAATTGACTACTGCAGGCCGCTCAATATCAGCTGCCTAAATGAGGGATTGTGTTTGAGTGTAATTGGTTCATATCAGGTAAGTAATTCAATGTTTGAGCCATAATGAAATAGTGAGGACCAGACAAAATATGACCAGTGCACAGACCTATAATACTGCCAATATAACAAACACTGCATTTACTTTTCCTTTGACAACTCTTTGTTAAGTCTCAAAATGTAAAAACAGACTAACCATTGAGCCACATTTGCTCTGGTGATAATGAATGGGCAAAGCGTTACACTAAAGCAGTGCTTTTCAAATAATGGGGACATGAAATGAACAATGAAAAAATTGGTTAAAAGTGAATCTTTAAAATTAGCCTTTGCTCTTAACTAGTTCTGGTGGAATGAATGGATGGGTTAGATGCAGAGGGAAATTTCCCGACAGGGAATAAGGATAAGTACATTATCTTACAAAGACATTACTGCAATATCTAATTTCAATCATAATATCACTTTTGTGTTTCCTCGTTTGACAACACTTACACAGAGTAAACAAGTGGAACTTTCTCTCTGCACTCTCCACAGTGCATCTGTGCCCCTGGATGGACTGGAGAGTTTTGTCAATATGCTGCTGATGCTTGTCTGATAAATGCAAAGGGCTGTGTGAACGGTGCCACATGCATCTCCACCAACCAGCCTTCAGAACCTCCTGAGTTTTTCTGCAAGTGCCCCAATGGCTTCACAGGTGAGTAAAGTTTTAATGGTGTCTACATTTATAGTGCTTCAAATATCCAATTGTTGGAGCTAATCAATAGGTAAATGTACTGGATTTAAATATTTTAAACATAAAGAATAAGACAGGATAATATCACAGGATCATTTAATACATTTATTTTTCAGGCCAATGTACATAATGCATAAAGCAGAGATTCTAGCATCAGACTAATAGCTAACTTCCATCCACCATTAAAGTGCAAACATGTATACAGTGCAAGTTAGTACACTAATAAAATCCATCATCTATTCATGAATCCAAACTGGATTTATGGCTGGATTGAATCTGTATGCGCTCTCTGAATTTCTAATCCTGCATTCCAGTCACAGGGATTTTATATCTGATATATCTTTCTTTTTAATGTACTGTGATTATTTATGATTTTAATGCTATCTTATTTTGTTCAGCACTTTGAGTTGCCTTGTGTATGAAATTGTGCTATACTAATAAACTTGCCTTGCCTTGCCATTACTGCTCATGGATATGTTATATCCATGAGCTAAGGTGTAGACATGGGACATGGGTCTATAGCCAAAACGTGTAAGAGCACAAAACTCCGTTACAGTATCACCACAAAGCCTAACAAGGGCCTTAGAACTTTGTGGAGACGGCATGAGCCATTACACATTTGCACTCATACTTTAATCTTACATGAAAATACATTACAACCAGTATGCGAAATACCAATTTTCAGGGGGGGTCACTGAATTTTTTTGCAGTATAAATGATGCATCAGTATTTCTGAACAGTGTTGTGTAGTGAAGAGACTTTAGAGTCTGGCGATGAAAGCCTCAGTGTGATGGGCTTCATTTGCCCATCACTAGAAAAAAAAGCGTTTTACCTTGAATCATATTACATGTGTCGGCTGCATTTCTTTTTGTGTGTTTTTTGGTTTCCAATATGAAAAGAGGCCTTCATCCAGCTCCTGACAAACAGAAGTTGAGGTTAGGTTCTCAAACAGGAGTGACGATAGTCTTCATGCAACTTGTTGAGTATCTTGTTGCCTGTACGGAAAAGCCTCGCTGCACTCGCATGACGTGAAGAGAATATGTACGAGAGGGCCTACCACACCAGCATCTTCATCAAAAACAAAATGAGTTTGTGACTCTGACTTTAGCTGTCGCTTGTTGTTAGCTATTTTCAGATGACGTTGGCTACTTCTGTTCTGTTTGGCGCAGGGGCTAATTTGCATATGGCTTTATTCAAGTACTGTTTGAAATATTGATTGAAATAATCAACACGATGATTACAGCCTAAGAAAATAGCTGATTATTCCCTTAAAAGCCAGTCCATTTGACTTGTTACCTCCTCAATGCAGTCTATTGACCAATGGCATCCATTCGTTCTTGTCTTAAGTCCTGACTCGTTCACCTGTCAGTATGATAAGTCCTTACTGAGCATGTTTTCTTCCCTCTGTTCAAAGCTCAAATCTGTTACAGCTCAAGTCATGGAAAATTGTCTCTCCTACCATGGCTGGTCTTAGTGACTGATAGAATTCATCATTTTCTGCCATCTTGGGATTTTTGGAATTCTAAGCCATGCAGCATAGAAAGGCCAATTTAATCTCAGACTTTGCCCTGAAAATGAAACGTTGTACACCACCATAGATCATAACTGAGTGTTAGTCAAACTAGAGCTCACGGACCATTTTATTTTGATAGGCAAATGTCCATGTATCCAATGTCCTTTTCCAGTGAGAACAGACTCTGGGGTGGGATTTGTGGAGAAGGCTACAATTTACAATGTGTCATTGTCTTCTTCTATCTTGTGCCATCATTGATCATTAACCCCCTTTTTTCTCTAAAAAATCCAACTGAATCTGTTTTGACAACTCTTTGGAGCACAAGCAACTGAACTGTTAGTGCAGCTGAGGTGCTGCAGTTTTGGCTTCTGATGACTCATATACTCTAATTAATAGTGTGAACAATTAGAGAAATAGAGAAAATGATAGAGAAAGTTCAAAGTAAGTAATAAACTTACACAATTTTGAGTTATAACCTTTTTTAAATGACAACATTGTACTTGCACTGTTATGATTGCATGATAAAGCTCATCCAAAAACTAGTGAATGTTACTAGTATGTAGCACTCCATTTTCTGTCTGTTGCTGCCTATAATGATTTTTGGCATTCATTGCACAGATGATATCAATCACAGTATTTGTGCAGTAGCATGAGCTTGCTGCTGTCAAAAAGGAACTTTCTCTTCATGCCATTGCTGCTGTGTTATTGATGATAGGGCATTTTAAATTAATAACCTGCTCCAAGAGACACCCCCACTTCTCAAACTCAGCAGGGTTAGGGCTGAAGCTACTATACACTCAAAGCAGCCCTCCATTACCAATGTGCGGGTCTTGAGCCTGGCATGCTTTATAGTGTTCTTCAATTGGCATCAGCAAATATTTTTTTGTATGTCTTTGGATTTTATGAAGATAAATCTCATTCTAGTTGTCTGCGCAATACACTGCAATGGACACACAATGCAAATGAACAAATAAATCTTTAATGCTTCTTCCCAGGAACCAACTGTGAGAAGGAGATCAATGAGTGCGACTCCATTCCCTGTCAACACAATGGCACATGTTCAGATTTGGTGGGAGGCTACAAATGCAAATGTCCTACAGGTATGAATACTGTAAGATATGTTCACTAAGCCATGCATATGCAGCTCCTGTTTCAGCTATTCCCTTCTGGCGGGCGACACCGTGAGCCATCTGCTTCCTTGCGCGGCACGGTGGCTGAGTGGATAGCACTCTCGCCTCTCAGCAAGAAGGTCCTGGGTTCAAATCCCGGTCGGAGCAGGGCCTTTCTGAGTGGAGTTTGCATGTTCTCCCCGTGTCTGCGTAGGTTTCCTCCGGGTACTCCGGTTTCCCCTACCACTAAAAATATGTCCAATAGTTCTGGCATGCGTCTCCTGTACTGGCGACCCCGCTCCCATCTCTGTCTGGAGTGAGAGGACAAGTGCCCCTAATTAACAATTGTAAACCGCTTTGAGACTCAGATCTGCAGTGAAAAGGCGGTATATAAATAAAGCTTACTTACTACTACTACTACTTACTTGCGTTGGCATTCAATTTACTTTTTGATATCCTCTCTATATCTCTACATAGGTTTGGAGCTGGCTCAAGGGTTTCTAAGTTTGTGACACACCAGGCCTTAATGTAGCTTTTAATGTGATTTTGATTAATGTAAAAATAACTCATCATAAATGCCCACTTGAGGGTCAGTTGGCATACAGATTGATTGACAGCAGAGCAAAGCATGGAGTCTATTGCCAGTTGACAATGGTGCAAATATTATACTAGAAAGCACTCATTAATATACATTTTCAGAAATTGCTTATTGTGCCTCACCGGCTGAGTCTAAATTTACATTCATGGATGGAGGTTCCCAGGAGCTCTGTGCTGTTGGCACTGCTCGAACCATGTGTTTGGCAAACCACCACTTGCTTCTATGAGACCTTACTGTGAATCTTCAGAATGAGAATGAGTGGTTGAGGGTCTTGAGGAACACATGATGTAATTCTACCTTAATGGAAAGGCATCAATCATGATGGTGTTATTAACTCTCTCTTTAATGTATTTGAATTAGTGCGGTCCAACAATTACAATATTTAATCGCGATTAATCACATGAATTTCATAGTTAACTCGCGATTAATTGCAAATTAGTCACACATTTGTATCTATTCTTTATGTCCCTTGAATTATCATTTTAATACTACTAAAAAGTGAATAGGCGTGCTGTGTGCAATTGCTTTTTTAAATATTTTGTAAATTTGTTTATGTAAATACTCTATGCTGTTTCTCTGTTTACTTTCGGTATATCTATGACTGTATACTGTTTGCTTGTATTGCCTTTTTTATTAACCCCTCCCCCCCATCTCCCACTTCATGTCCCCCCCCCTCCTATGTGCCCTTCTGGGTTTCTTCTTTGGCCCCCTGTATCTCCAACTACATATTGTTTGTAATCTCTGTCTACAATGTATCTGAACTAGTCCTTTTCTTTGTTTCTATTTTTTTTTCTGTATATGTGTTTGTCTGCAATAAAAAGTAAAAAAAAAAAGTAAAAAAAAATAAACAAAATTGTAATTTATTTTTTAATCGCGGGATAAAAAAAATGACGCCGTTGATATTGATTTGCGTTAACACGTTAATAACGCGATATTTTGGACAGCGGACAGCACTAATTTGAATATAATGTACAATATACTTGAAATTGATAAACCTTATCTGACCTAACCGTCCGTTTTAGTATGTCTTCTCTTTTTATTTGTGTGTTGATATTGGCAACATTAAGTTCACATAAATTATAATTTTTCATCCTGTGTAATAGGGAGTATTAGGTCTTCCACTTCCTGGACTCAGGCAGACATCCAGACGCCCTTGACAGGTTGCCAGTCTACCTCTAGGCTTATACACAGACTGAAAAAAGCACAGTTGTTCCTACAGGGAATTTAGAGTTTCCAGTCCAGTTAACCCAAATGTCTTTGAACTAGGCTAGAAAACCAAAGGATCTTCTGCCATGTGGGGAAACTGGCCAACTTTGAACCCAGCTTGCTATGGTATTACAGCTACACTTTTGTCTGTTAACAATTAAATATAAAAGAATGGTGATAAATAAACAACACATTTCACAGAAACCAGCATTTTGAATTATGAACCAAATTCTAATCCCTTCACTGATGGGAATTACACATTTTTACAAGTTTTTGATGACATTCAATGAATACAATGTTTTGATTATTCTATGTCATGTATGTCATCGATGTTATATCAATGTTTCATCGTTTCCTAACCCAGACCTTTGAGAAGAAGAGATAATGTATCTCAATTCTCATGTTAAACAAATAAAATAAGATACATTAATTAGGTATTATATAATATTTGGATTGTTATACAATAATATTTGTATGCTTTCCTTCATTTTTGTTTTCATCTCTAAAGCGCTCAACCCTCTTTTATGTTAAATGTTTAGTATTACAATTGATGTGGATAATTGTTACATAATGTATATATCAAAATATAGTGGAAAGTAATAATTCCAACATTCTAATTCATAACTACAAATTCTTTATCGAATCAGATTTCCTTGAGAAGGGTGGCAAAATGTTCTATTAGTACAAGACTTTTTCCTCTTAAGAAATTCCAGTCGGTCAGAATGCAAAGTGCGAGGTCGGTCCGAATTTCCAAACTCAATGGAACCTTTTGAAACCTTTGGCTCACCATCACCATATACCATAACAGGTAGCTGTACCTGCCCCGCAGACTGACTATAATCGGATATCTGACCTTATCCTAGATGCAATGCTTTGAGTGTAAGTCCTGGTTCCTGGTGCCAAAGATGCAGCCTGCCATAATCCCTGATCAGGATCCCCCCATCTCCTGAATAAACTGCTTCTTTATGTGTCCACAGATTTATAGCACAAAAGTCTTGGCATTCCTTACTGACTTGTTGCTAAAGCTTGATAATCATGTCGGTGTTACTGTGTTGTGTTTTTTCAATGTAGCAGCCTGTGAGTCCAAGACAAATTTCCTATGTGACATAATAAATTAATCTTGAATCTCTTTAATCTTGAATCTTAATCTTGAACAATTATTTTTCTTCATAAGATTCTTTTTCATTTGTACAGTTCTCTAAAACCATCTATATGTTCCAGGTTTTGACGGGATGAACTGTGAAGTGGACATCGATGCATGCTCTCTGCCCGACAGCACTTGTCCACCACAGACTGACTGCTTGGATCTTCCAAATGGCCTTCAGTATATGTGTCGAACACCTTGTCCTGCAAGCTTACAGGTAAGGAAGTAACCAGTGACGTGCAGTGAGGTTGGTGATGGGTGAGGCTCTGACTTTTGTCCAATCAGATGTACATACAGTATATATCATATACATCAACAGGAACAACAGAGCGGCTTATTCACAATGTGTTTGGCTACAGCTGAATTTGTTTCATGTCTGCATTATTTGTTCATACAAAATGCAAATGTTTGTGACAAGCACATTTAAAATAAGCCTTACATTATAAATGACCTGCACAGGAAATCAAACAATCAAATCAATATGGTAAATAGATCATGCAAAATGTATTGAACAGTATGATGCAGAAATGAGACAAATGGACAATTCAATCTTTTGAGCTAGTTTCACTGTATTACTTTTTTACAATATCCTTAAAGCTGCACTAACTGACTTTATTTTTGTATTCATTACAAAAATTCAATCCATACATTGGGATATCCATGCATTGGGATATGCATCCTTTTGAAGAAAAAGTAGCGCAGATTTGTGCTGGCATGTCATTTAATTTTAGATCGAGTTTTCGTGAAAAAAGGAAGAGAATGTGTTTCGGGTCCAGGATTGTGACCAATCAGAGTGGACCACTGGCCCCCACTTTCTTGAGAAAAGCCACAGGTCTCTTGTTAGCACAGACAGCTGAGGTAAACAAGCGTCGCAGGCTAGCCTGAAGCTTCCCGTGTCTTTGTTACTGGTTACTGCTTACACAGCAAAACAGCCATCCAAAAGAAAGTCTCGTCCTCTCCCCGCTTCCCGGTTCTATCATTCTATGGTCACGCCATCCACGTGCAAATGTGCGATCCATATTGTGAAACGTGAGCTCCGTATACAATTAGCATGTGAGCGCAGGCTGAGGGGGAGGGGGGTAGTGGGAGGCGAAAGCTCCGTGCGGGGAGGGCGAGCAGAGAGAGCAAGAGCAGCGCTCACATTCGAACATTTCTGAAAGTCAGTTAGTGCAGCTTTAAAGTTAGTATCTAAAATAAGCAGTGCTGGGTAAGTTACATTGAAAAAAAAATTGGTTACAAAATTTTACACTGGTTACACTTCAGTTCACACCAGTTTCATGTTTAAGTCCAGTTTATAGTTTGAGCGTAGATATGTAATTCTCATTTGGCAATAAGTCCAATGAGTTTTAAAAAGTAAAAACAAACGGGTGTCTCCTCCATAAACTCCTCTGTTTTACTAGCTGCAAGGGGTGCATTCGATTTCTAAAAGCAAACGTTCTTACCCTTCACCTCTCTTTCTTATCATTCCTCTCGTCATTGGAATCATCACGTTACCCTAAGTGGCTTTTAAATCACCTTAAAATGTGATGTTGTATGTATGTTAGCCAAACCTGTAGCTGCCCTTAACAGAGGAAGAACAAGAAAGGAGCTTTCTGATGGAATCGGATGCAGCCAAAATCTTTCCATCATCGTAGGTGAGGTCGGGCCTCACCTGCCTCATCTGACCGTCACTGGAATTAACAATACCTGAAATATAAAAATATATTGTTAAATATAGTCTCGGCATTTTAGAAAAATATTAAAAACGTCATCTCTGCACAGGTTCTACAGTCTGTTATTGTAACAGTTTCCCATTTTCAAAACGTAACAATCAATTTGACCCATTAAGTATTATAATTGCAAATCTAACTGCGTAGTATTTATGCGAAATGCAGTAAAAGGTGAAGACACATAAATGAGTCCAGTGGCACATTCTGACTTTCCTTGCTTTGAAACAGACGCCACATGAATGCGTGTTCCGATAATTGCATTCTGCCATTATTCAGATTGTGATCCATCAATCTCTTGATTTTTCAAGGGTTCAAATTGTGATCATTTGTCCTTTTTAAGTCGGTTTGTTCACTGCAGTACTGTTACTATTTGTCACAAAACATTTACATCACATTTGCTCCACACAAGTGTACCTTAAATTATTCAGTTTACTGTGCAGAAGAAAGATAACACGTATGAGCCAGCCTCAAAGTGGAGGAAAGAACACAAGAGACATGTTTGTCTTTAAACATAACCCTTTACCCATACACAGAATATCTTCATGCATATCATGTAGAGCAGGGGATCCCAACGTTTTTAGCCCGCGACCCCCATGATAAATGCGCTGCTCCCCCGCGACCCCCCACCTCAACAGCCCTTCCCGTCACAGGAAATGAGCACGTATTTCCTTGATTCAGAGTAACACTTTATAGAGACTCGCGCCACTACCGAGTACTCGGCAGCCCAAAAAAGGAGGCTTGCGTATTTTTACTTGCGTAGTGACGCAAATGATGGGCTTGATGGGCTCCCTCCTTAGCAGAGGTGGAGGGTATTTCTTGTGGCTTGTCCTCACTGTTCTCCAGCCGCGGTAAAGAGGCCCGGCTTTTCGGAGTCAGTGGTAAAGAAGTCCGCACGTTAAAAGCGGGTTGCCGCTTTATGCTGTTACTTACAGTAAAAAGTGCATTGTGGCGGCTTATCCACTTTTCTCCCCCTCCGGGTTTTTCTGTTGTGGATATTAACCACGTTTCTAAAGCAGGTATTATTTGTTTGTAGCCTCCAAACACCTTTAGCTTTAGCAAACAACAGCAGGACACGCTTTGTTGCTGCGTAACTTTTGATTTTGATTGACGCTGTCAATGGTTGGGACAAAATTACAAACGTAATTAAAATATATTATATTGTCTTCAGACTCTTCTCCAAACACAATTTAACAAGTAGTCCTTTTGAATCAAATCAAAGCAAAATAAATATGTAAGGGCTATATATATATATATATATATATATATATATTAGGGCTGTCAAACGATTAATTTTTTTTACTTGATTAATTGCATAGTAATGGTGAGTTAACTCTCGATTAATCGCATTTTTAACATTCTATTTCAATTCCACTCCAATTGAAGTTAAATGAGATTTTCAAATGTAATGACACATTGTTATTCATACAAAATGTACTTAAATCTGTGTGACTTGCTCACAACCTTCTACTTTTGGGTACAACCAACGAGAGCTGTTAATGAAAGGGAAAATGTAGGTACCCCAGCTTTAATTTTGCTAGTTTGGTTGCATTTCAGCGTGTCTCCTCCTCTCCTCCGTTGGCACCTGTGCGTGTATATATATTTCAATTTGGAGAGACGAGAAACGAAAATGGTTTTGAGTATTTATTGAGGTGGTTTGGCGCCCTAGGCCCCGGTGCGGCCTTCAGATCGGAGAGGCTCCTGCGATGGAGCGCGTACAATCCCCCGGGACCTAGGCACTGGTGGCGGCATTTTGGCAGATTGGAGGCAGATTGGAGGCAGATTGGAGGCAGATTGGAGGCAGATTGGAGGCAGATTGGAGGCAGATTGGAGGCAGATTGGAGGCAGGTTGGAGGCAGGGTGAAGAGGAGGAGGAGGGGAGGCGGTGGTTGCGAGGCTTCGAGAAGGCAGAGAGTGGGAGTTGCTCCGCTTTTAAGCGGCTGCCTGTCCGGCACGGATGATTGGAAGGGGGCGTTTGCCGAGCGATAGGCTGGGGAAGCGAACCGGCCTGGAGGGGGTAGCTTTTGGCTGACGTCTACCAAATTGAATTTTCGCGAGCTACATTTCAATTTGGAGAGACGAGAAACGAAAATGGTTTTGAGTATTTATTGAGGTGGTTTGGCGCCCTAGGCCCCGGTGCGGCCTTCAGATCGGAGAGGCTCCTGCGATGGAGCGCGTACAATCCCCAAAAAGGCTGAGTGTGTTGATGGAGTTTTGCAGCCTGGTTTGCAGGGAACAGACGTCGTGGCTACTCTATGCTGTGACCGCTATCGCTATGCTGTGACCGCTATCGCTATGCTGTGACCGCTATCGCTATGCTGTGACCGCTATCGCTATGCTGTGACCGCTATCGCTATGCTGTGACCGCTATCGCTATGCTGTGACCGCTATCGCTATGCTGTGACCGCTATCTCTATGCTGTGAACCGTTTATGCGCTAACCATTTTTTGCTATGCTGTGACCGCTAACACTAACGCTATGACCGCTACCACTGACGCTATGACCGCTATCACTGACGCTATGACCGCTATCACTGACGCTATGACCGCTATCACTGACGCTATGACCGCTATCACTGACGCTATGACCGCTATCACTAACGCTATGACCGCTATCACTATGTGCTGTGACCGTTATATGCGGTTATCTTTGAGTGCCGGGACGTGAGCGCTCGCATCACGATCAACCGGACGCTGCGGCAGGGTTATCTTTGAGCGCTGGGACGTGAGCGCTCGCATCACGATCAACCAGACGCTGCGGCAGGGTTGTCTTTGCGCGCTGGGAACGTGAGCGCTCGCATCACGTTCCGTCAGACGCTGCGGCAGCGGAGAGTGTTTGAGAGAAGTGCGTGCCGCCACCAGAATCTTATTGGTTCACTTACTTTGCTTCGTATTGCTTTGCTGGGAGCTTACGAGGAAGCCAGTTGACGTTGTGCAGGCAGGATAGCGGACGCGTCTGGCCTGATGTAGGCGGAGAAAGCCGCAGAGGACCGGCGCCCCAGCTGTTGCAGAGAGGTGTGGGGGAGCCCCAGCGAGGCCGCGATGGTCCTGGAAATAAACCCCCCAAAACCCACGGAAGGGGCACGTCCGTGTAGAAGCCGAGACCTGGAGGGGCAGAGACATATCGGAGAGGGCCATGAAGTTGCAGGCGCCCTTACGCTTAGAATCTTGGGTTGGAGAGTAGATAATCAGGATAGTAGGATGGTCGGGAAAAGCCGTGTCTCGGACCGCACGAAGGTTGAGTGTGCAGTAGTGAACGCTTATGCAGAGAAGCCATGGAAGGCGAGCAGGAAGATGCTGCGAGGAGGGCAGACATGTACTTGGAAGATGAGCCGGAGTTCAGTGCCGCTGCAGGATGGGCAGCATGATGGGGAGCCTGCGATCAGAAGAGTGAAGAACACGGTATGGATGCCTTTGATTAGGAGTCCAATTGACGGCTCAGCGCAGCTACTCGGCCAGCTGCATCTGATAGAATCAGAAGATTAAGTAGAGAGATGAAGCACGACCGCCGAAGTGACCCTGGGAGCATAGGTGCGAGTCCAGTGCCGCGCGGCATACTCGGCCGGGCTGCATCCATTAGAAGCAGGATAAGCTTCTGAGAGAGTGGGTTGCAGCAGTAGCAGTAGCAGTAGCAGCAGCGGCAGTAACCTCAGATAATAACGGCAACGACCTGTATCAGCCGCGGCAGCAGCAGCTGCTGCATCCGTAGATAATAACGGCAAAACCCTGTATCAAAGCCACGGCAGTAGAATATGTTGTAGCTGTTTAGTGTTTCAGTAAGAGAAGCGAAGTGAAGAGAGATGACGAAGTACATGAAGCAGCAGCAGCACGGCAGTAGTAGCAGTATGAAGCAGCAGCGGCAGCAGTAGCAGCAGTAGCGGTAACAGTATGAAGCAGCAGAAGCAGCATTAGCAGGAGCAGCAGCACCACGAAGCGATCATACGAACAGACAGACGTGTCACGCCGGCGTGCGCCGCTTGTCTCCGTGAGCCAGGTTACGTACGTGTCTGAAAGAGCCGAGCCACAGAGACGGGTGCAGCCTGGGAGCCTGCGGAACGGCAGCGGCACATGTAGTAGTAGGAGCAGCAGGAGCAGCAGCAGGGACAGACAGCAGCAGGAGCGGCAGCAGGAACAGGCAGCAGCAGGAGCGGCAGCAGGAACAGCAGCGGCGGGATCAGGCATCAGTAGGAACGGCAGCGGGGACCGGCAGCAGCGGCGGTCAGAGAACCAACCCACGGTTGTTTAAGAGCCTGAGGGAATAAATCAACCCGAATCCGAAACATTCCCATGCGAATAACAGACGTCCCCTGGAGCCATCTTCTGCTTTGGTTATGGCAGATGCGCATGAACGACCACTGATCCATGCGTTCATAGCTCCAACACTATTTCCACCCATTGCAGATTCACGTTCGGCCCTTTTTCTTCCTGCTGCACTTTCAAAAATGCAACACTGCAGTTAGTTACCTAATTTAATACCAGCGACCTAGCTATTTATGCATGGTTTTACTGCAAGTGGCAGAACATGATCTGAATTAATGCACATAGCTCCTCGTATATCCCTCAGACGATAGAGATTGATGCCATTTAATATGCATTGCCCCTCAGTTAGCTCAAACACATGTGAAACGGAGCCTGCAGACCAAGCTCGGGGCGAAAAAACTGGCGCCTGCAGTCAAGTGCGTAGGGCAAAAACCAGCCGCCTGCAGCCCAGAACTCCGGGATTAATCTGTCCGCGGTCGGCACACACACTGTACTCACATGCCAGGAGACTTGGGAAAAGCAACGGGACAACGCGGCACCGCCAGACCTCTGCGTGCGGCAGCAGACCACAAGGAACGAGCCGCACATAAACCCGCGGAGGGCCCCGCGGAGCAGCCCGCAGAAAGAGCCCGCAGAGGAGGAAAGCAGTGGGGATATGCGAACCACAGCAGTGCAGGGACGCGGAGGAGGAGCAGACCAGTGCAGGGACGCGGAGGAGGAGCAGACCAGTGCAGGGACGCGGAGGAGGAGCAGACCACAAGCAGCCAGACGGAGGACGCCAGGGACGCGCCGAGTAGCGTGAGTAGACGAAAACGATTCCTCCAGACGATTCTCTGCAAGGCTTCAGGAGCTTGCGAGGCTTCGAGAAGGCAGAGAGTGGGAGTTGCTCCGCTTTTAAGCGGCTGCCTGTCCGGCACGGATGATTGGAAGGGGGCGTTTGCCGAGCGATAGGCTGGGGAAGCGAACCGGCCTGGAGGGGGTAGCTTTTGGCTGACGTCTACCAAATTGAATTTTCGCGAGCTACATGTGTGTATTATATGACCACGTTACTGCTGTCACCATCACACACACGCACGTGTCCGCGGCATTCTGAGTGATATTATTATTAATAGGCAAGTCATTTTTAACGCGTTAATGAAAACGGTAATTAAGGTGAATTAACGCGATAATTTTGACAACCCTAAAATATAAATATATATATATATATATATATATATATATATATTTTTTTTTTTTTCGAATCGAAATCATCTTGCGACCCCCCGTGGGGTCGGGACCCCCACTTTGGGAACCACTGATGTAGAGAATGTATTTGGCAGCTTGTTTTTACTACTACAACCAGCATTGCAGAAAAAACAAATCAAGCTGCAAATGCTAGATTGCTTGTCAGTGTTTGCTTTGGCCCAAACAAATGAAAAAGAAAGATTGGAAAGACCTACTCTACCTGACAGGGATGAGTGCCTTCTCAGATTTGGATGGGTTTATACATGGATGAATTGACCCTGTGCATTGAGTAAAAAGCTCCCAGCACTGAACATAGAACCTCCTTCAGATGACAGATGGAGATGATGGCTCACTGTGCAGAAAAGCTCACATTGGCTGCAATACAAAAATGCCATCATGTCTGCATTTTATGCCTTCCCCACTCCTATGCCTTTGCCCACTTCTTCCCTTTGCTTTTTGTTTCCAAGCTTCAAATATACAGAACATTCATTTTTCTGATCTACGAAAGATCCCATCCACGAAGACCTTTTTGTAGCGCACCACACAGTTTGTCTCTGTGGTATGAAAATCAAACAATCAAATCAATATGGTAAATAGATCATGCAAAATGTATGTATGATGCAGAAATGAGACAAATGGACAATTCAATCTTTTGAGCTAGTTTCACTTAATTACTTTTTACAATATCCTTAAAGTTAGTATCTATAAGAAGCAGTGTTGGGTAAGTTACATTGAAAAGTACTTGGTTACACCATTTTACACTGGTTACAGTCTAAAAAACTTAAAGTACCTTTAAAAGTACCCACAGTTACATTACTTTTGTCTTATACAATTTCCGCTTAGTGTTGCAGTTCCCCTTCAGTGTTGCATCACAAACTTCAATTTGGTTATTGTGATTAATCTAAGACCCCATTATTTATGTGCAGCCTTGTGCCAATGGGGGGCGCTGTGTGTTGAATGATGCCAGTAGCTACACTTGCATCTGCACATCTGGTTGGTCTGGTCAGAACTGCCACATAAATGTCAATGACTGCGCCCAGCACTGGTGTCAAAATGGAGGCACTTGTGTGGATGAGATTGATGGCTATAGGTAAGTGTTAAATTCATGATTGTCTTCAGGCCATTTGAGCTGCTCTATGTGAATGATTGGAGAACCCGTGACATTTACCGTTTCTATCCTAAGGGCTGAAAAAATTCCAGCACTATAATAAGTAATTCTGTTTAAACATTGCCAGCTGCCTCTGTCCCAAAGGATACACGGGCCTTTTCTGTGAAGAAGACATTGATTTCTGCGTGGGCCATTCCTGCTCTGAACACAGTGTTTGTGTGGATGGCTGGTCTAACTTCACCTGTCGCTGCATGTATGGATATGAAGGGCCGCTGTGTGAACGAGAGACAGACGAATGCCGCAGCTCGCCGTGTGCAGCCGGAGCCACCTGTGTGGACCTAATCAGTGATTATCAGTGTCACTGTCCCCCAGGGTTTGAGGGTATGAGATCTGATCTGAGTGTGCTATTTATATGGCTCTATACACGTGGCCTGCCATAGAAAATCATACTAGTGGATAGTGCAGAATTAGCTTGAATGGGGTTATTCATTAATATATCGTTCATGCCAGTTTTACAAACAACTGGCTAAGTTTATTTTCTTTATTTTCTTACCAACATGAACAAAATACAGGTACAGAAGAGGATTTGTTAAAATTTTAGGAAAGAAACGCCTCTTTTGGAAGAAATGCACATACCACCAGAATGATTGAAAATTTGGAGGACCGTCTTGATGATGGGCCGGCGGGATTGTTTTTAACCAAACTGGAAAGCACTTTGTGTTGCATCTTTTGTATGAAAAGTGCTTTATAAATAAAATTTGATTGATTGATTGATTGATGATGCTCCCAGAAAAAGAAAATCCTCCTAAATATCTTTAACCTTGAACCACTTTCCTGGTCATTGAGACTCATTGTAAACAGTATTTTTTTCCTACCTACATATGAATTATTTAATGTGTTAATTGCTATGATTGTTAAGTTGGTCCTTGTACATTTAAAAAAAACTTTGACACAAAGTTTAAGACAACACTCAAAATCGGAATCCAGTAGATTCCACTTCTTTACTCCATAAACCGAAACACATTGCTCACTTATTGGATGGGGCAATAAAAGCATTTTTCAGAAAATGTTATCATTATTGCATAAAATGTAATCTTCCAGCAGGTTTACATCCATAGAAATCATGATAGCAAAAGCAATATCCTCAGGAGCCAAAGAGAGGTGCACGCTCTCGAAGAACCAGGGAGTCTGAAATATCGCCAGAGGCCAGACTTGGCAGGGTTTTCAATTTCTCAGTATAATCTTAAATCAAACTATCAAACTTGAGGAAGTATTCTTAAATTAAAGTTGTTTTTTCATCGATGCATCAAGATCCAGTAGCTCAACATTTCCACAGTCGGCTTTTTAGTTTAATGACACACAATATATAGAGCTTTACAACTGTGTGTTTGTGCCTTTTTATCCTACAGGGAGGATTTGTTCAGAGAATGTAAATGATTGTTGGTCACAGCCGTGTCTAAATGGAGGAATCTGTGTGGATCTGACTAATGACTACACTTGTCATTGTCCTCTTGGTGAGTACAATTCAGGATGTTCTCCACAACACCAGCCTGAATCTGCAGCCTGTTACGCACATTTGCATTCAAACAAGACACTATAAAACAAAACTCATATAAATGTTAAAGCCCTTGGCAGATTGGCCCTGAGTTGTATTCTCCTACACAACGACAATATGCAACACAAGAGAGATACTTTACGGTTTTCACATAACATAAGAAGAACATGTACATTTGCTATCTTTTGAATTATTTGAAAACAAAGGAATAATGTACTGTATGTAAAAAGGTAGCTGTAACTATATAGACTGTTCAAAGCTTGTTCACCTTTCTTATTTCCATGTTCTAATTGTAAAAACTCAAATTTACTGTTAATGAAGAAGAAATAAAGTAGATGTGTGGCACACTGCAGTAAAGTAATTGTTTGTATGATTCAAACAAACTTGACGGATCACAAATATGATCGAATCCTTCACAAGAAGATATAAGAGGCCAAAAGCGCCTCACTATAAATCTGTCAATAAATTATACACAATAATGGAAGCATTACTGACATGTGGGAGGTCTGTTTTTGCCCAAAATTGAATTAGAGGAGAGAGTCTTTGTGTAATATGATAAATACACCACCTAAAAGCTCTAAATAGATGTTGTGTGTGTGTTTAAAACAGTAAATGGTGTGCACAGAGCACCAATATTCACTGTTATTTATCTCTCTATTTACTGATAAATCCATTCATTCATTTTCAACCCCTTTATTAGTCCATTTCTGGGTTGGGGGGGTGGCAATGAGAGCTGCCACCCAACGCTCATAGCACCAGTCCCTCGCTGATCCTCTGCAGGTCGGTGGTCCACAGGAAGATGGCTGCGGTTTCACCGCCTTGGTCTTTCAGCGGGGGCTTCAGGCAATGTTGGGCTAAGTGTCTTGCCCAAGGACACAACGGCAGTAGACATTTGTGGGAGCAGTTGGAGTTGGTCCCATGGTGGGCTCAAACCCATGACCTCCATGCCCAAAGGCCAATGCTCTACCAACTGAGCTCTACCAACTGAGCTCTACCAACTGAGCTCTACCAACTTAGCTCTACCAACTGAGCTCTACCAACTGAGCTCTACCAACTGAGCTCTACCAACTGAGCTCTACCAACTGAGCTCTACCAACTGAGCTCTACCAACTGAGCTACTTTCGCCCCATCATTGTGATTTTTGTTACAGGTAGAGAAATATGATGAATGCTATAATAATAGCATATTTCAGCCTTGTTTAGTTTTCTATTAAATCACTCAGGCATAGTTTCCAAGGATTATCTGCAGATTTCTCTTTGCAGAATGTATTAATATTTTGGCACTTACTCATGAGCATGCACTGTGTCAACAAATGTTTGTCAGGCAGATTTAATTTTTCAAATATGTGTGTTTTTGTTGATTGGGTGTTTACCTTTGAAGGTGACTTTGGACTTTTCATGCCAAATACTGCCTGTCACCCCCGATGTGCACAATCAAGAACGAGCAAGTATTTTTACCACGGGCTGCAGTGAAGCCAGCTGCATTTTGCCAACTGATTTATTTCCTGTGTTATTAGGTGATTATTGTTCTGCATCAGGAGTCACATAATGACTGAAGGACAAACTTGAATCAAGTATTTGTGTAATTAGGGGAGTCAACATTACATGCGTCAGTAGCTGGCAAAGCCTTGAAGCGAGATGCTGTTCATAGTACCAGATTATGATAATATGATCTAACATAATTGATATTTTTATATCAATGTATATATATATATATATATATATATATGGATAGCTAGTGTGAAAATCTGATACTATGAACATTGTAGTGAAGCATGATTCTCACTCAGTACTACTGTAGTTACATCTTACTAATTACGTGTTAGCCTCACAAAATTAACTTTTATACAGCTTTGGGATTATATTGTGATATTATTGATACATGATACCTGAATTATTAAGATGCTTTATGTTATATTTTGGTACAGTTATAGGAACATTTATCATCTCCACACACTACTGATAGTGGTCTGTGTGTGTTGCACATTGAGAGTGCGTTTTCAAAGAGACCCAGGGTTCTCTTTAAGTGAACCAATTAAGACAAAATAAATCATTTGTGGAGATATGAATCCACCTACAGACATTTTTGAAAGAAATATGTTTATTACCTAAAAATAAGATAAAGTACTCTTTATTGTACTCACAATGGAAAAGTAATTTTAACTCAACACCGGTCATTTCAATTTCTGGTTTCAGAACTACAAGAACTGAACAGCTTTTACTTTTTGGCAAAGTTTTGTCCTATAAAAACTACACGAGTATGGTGGACACATAAAAGATCACCTGGAATGAGGTAGTCTTTTATTTAATTCTCACAAGTCTGTTGATGATCACTTTTGTGAGCTTGGAAAAGGTGTCAGAAAATGGGGCGTCCCATTCTGAGACAGTGACACCGTAAATGTGACACTCCTTCATGCTACATTAACCTGGGAGTGAATTGCTTGCACAATTGGTTATTAAACACTTCTGAAACACTCTGTTGGAGGCAATAGCTGCCCATTAACTAGTCAAGGTAATACATAACAAGAGCGGAAAAAGGTAGTAAGAAGGTCATCAAACAGCCAGATAGATGTTTTAATGTAAAGTATGCTGCACTGGGGAGAGTTGGGTTATAAAGTATGATGAGGTCTTGTGTGTCTTGGTGCAATAGATGAGGTCTTGTGTAATCTAAATACTGTCTGTTTGTGTGGACAAGTAGTGATAAAGGACATTTAGTCTGAAGCAGAATTTCCAAACGCTTATTAGAACACCTATATTTGATGGAGAAAGCACATTAGAGCTAAATGATTTTTCAGGAAAAAAATATGAGCTATTGCAAGAATTATTGAACACGGTTATCATTTTATCACTGTGTGGTTGAAGGTGTATGTACATACATTTGTCTGGACTAAAGACTCTTTGGATAGAACTTGATTGTAACATCAAGAGGTGTTTTGATGTTGCTTCCTTGACAATATTACAAGGGAGGCAAGGTTGGGGTTGGAGGCACTGTGCCATTAAAAATGACCAAAAGTTCTTATATCATGCGTAGTTTAGATAAGTTGTTCCCAACATGTTTTGCCCAGCTTAGATCCTTGCCAGCATTGGCAGGGTACAAGTACTTCTGTTGTTTTCCATATCCCAGGGATCAAAACTGTATGTGAGCTTTAAGACCGCATCCAAGCTGTCCATAATTTTTTTAGGGAAAGTTTGTATATAACTCATATTTTGCATCTTAACAATATTTACTTTTTAAGTGTGTTCCATTGTGTAGGTAATTTAACCAAATTATTACCTTTAGTAAAGTAAATAGACCAATAGACTGATATGGTTGTTTCCTGTAGAGAATTTGTTTTAAAGTGACTCATAACATGTAATCGGTATGTAATACCGCTCATACCCACTGTTTGGAGACACTGGTTTAAACCATTAGATAAACAAAAATATACTTTTAGAACTCTAGAATTAACACTGGTGCTGGTCCTGGCGGCAACACCCGAACACGGTGGTGGCCACCGGGAGCGAGGGATATCGTCAGGCTGAAGGAGTCCTATAGAGCCATGATTGATCGTGGGACTCCTGAGGCAGCTGGCCTGGCTGGCCAAGCGTGTTGCTGCCAGACACAGGATTGGGAGGAGTTCGGAGAGTTCATGGAACATGACTATTGGTCGCCATCGCAAAGATTCTGGCAAACCATCCTGTACCTCAGGAGGTGAAGAAGTGCTTTGTCAACACCGTGTAAGATGCGGATGGAGAGCCGATGACCTCGACTGGGGATATTGCAGATACTACCATCTCCCTGGCTGAAGTTATCAAGGTGGTTGGCAGCCTCCAGATTTGGAAAAGGCGTTCCCCTTTTCCACCCGTTTTCCCCTGGGTGTCCTTTGGGGGGTTCTCTGGGCGTCTGGGGTCCGTTGTATTGAAGAGGGAGCTGAGCCAAAAGGCATGGCTCTTGTTTATCCGGTCCATCTTTGTTCCCAACCTCACCTATGTTAATGAGCTTTGGATAATGACCAAAAAGACAAGTGGTTGAAATGAACTTCCTCCGCAGAGTGGCTGGGCACTCCTTTAGAGATAGGGTCATATGTGAGGTGGTTTGAGTAGGGCCACTGCTTCTCCATGTGAAGAGATGGCTTGGGCATCTGTTCTCCAGTGTGTCATGGGAAAACCCAAGACACACTGGAGGGACTACTGTATGTCTCTCAGCTGGCCTGGGAACGCCTCTGAGTTCCCGCAGATGAGCTAGAGGTGTGTGTGGATAGGGAAATCTGGGTGCCGATTGCTGCCCCCACAATGGATGGATGGATTGATGGATGAATGAACATAAAAAATCTTTTTTTCTACTTACTTATAGAACAGTGTTACTATTCCCCTCACATACTGTCTGTCTGTCTTTATTTCAGACTTGTCCTGTTAGCTCACCTTTATTTGTCCAAACGCATGTAATGACCGTCAGCCTCCATCTGTGGGCACTTTATTTACAACAATAGATATCGACATGGGTATCTATCAGTGACATGCAGGCCTGGAGTTGGTGGAGCAGATAAATGTGATATAGATCATTTTGGTGTAGGGTGGGTCTCTGTCAATGATTCACTCAATTAGCATACTGCGCCCCAGGTAGATTGCCAGAGGAAAAATCGATAGACTCATTAATCTGCAAAAGAAAAGGTGTCTTAACCTAATAAAACATCCAACCACGCAAATATGTGTAACTCTATATATCCCATCATCAGTGCTTCCTGTGCTGCTAATAAAATGGATAAAATAATACTTCCTTATTTACAAAAATCAGTAATGTCATGAAATCATGCTGTTTTTATATATAAAAAAAAATATTATTTACCCAAACTACTCAAATGCAGGTCTTAAATCACAAGCCAGTGATATTTGAAATTTGTGCTACTAACACGAAATATGTGATTTTTAGGATTCAAGGGGAAAGACTGCTCCGTGGATATTGATCTTTGCTCTTTTGGAATATGCAGCGCACACACATTAATCTGCACAGAGTCCCGGGATGGACAAAGCGTTTCCTGCTTGTGTGAGAGAGGTAAGACATACCATCTGCATAACTCCATGAAAATACATTTTTTAAATTACACTTAGTGACACGCTTTACACTATATAATGGAGGATTACAGACATGGTGCGTTTTCTGATGTTTTGTAAATCAAAATAAGATGATTATATTACCCAAATTCATAACAGCGATCTTCTTAGGCATTGCATGTTTGTAAAACCGAGCACCGGAGTCCGGAGCTCCGTCTACAGCCTTACTGATAATTTCTTATGAGCCCCCACTACCAATAATTACTTTTATCTTCATGCATTTCCAATTAATATAGATTTTATAGAAATTTTAACAACATACATTTTAAATAACAAGGGAAATTTGTCCTTATCCATTTCCAGCCAATCTGATGGAGTAAGTCCTTGTACAAGGCATTGATCCATAAAATAATCAGGTAACCAGGCTCAAATCAACACTTGTTTGCTGTGTTTAGTTGACCTGTTTCAAAAGAGAGATTAAACATACATTATGCTCTGGTGTGCATGCTAGCTAACCTTAACAGAGCTAGCATGATGGTGTGTGTGCGTTTGGGTCTGTGTGTGACCTAAGAGCGAGCATGGCAAAATCTTTGGTGCAACCATTTATACAACTAGAAAGATGAGGTGGAGTGTTTCCCTGGGCCCCTCTTTGGGAAACACTGGATTAGAGAATGAATCAATTAGAAATGTAATAATAAAACACACAAGAATCAATGGTCCTTAATGTCCTGCATCATCAACTATGTAACTATAAAAGAAACTTTTATTAATAAAGTCACACCAAGGCCGGAGCATTTAATAAAGTTTGAATATTGCAGAACATCTTCAAGGGTGTGTATGCGATTTACACTTTTTACCAGTAAATTAGTCGAAAACATGTATTTCCTGAGATAATTTGATTATTCAGACAGACACGCACCCCTCTGGATCTCTGCCTCTAAATGATTGGCTATTATATCCAAGTTGGTGTAACTCAATCAATATTGGTAACTTCATTACTCTTGTTGCTCTTCCGCTGGGTGCGTGTCAGCGTGAGGGATAGTGACTGATTCTCGATGTAAATGAGAGCAACCTGCAGCGTCGCTGCAGCCTGATCACTTCTGAAGGGCAAACTGTGATGTGTCTATACAGAGATGCTTCATGTTTCATTGGCAGTGCTGGCCTGCATATTATCTAATGGCTGCTAGTCTAATGTGATGCAAAACATGTTACTGCCAGGGAGCTTTCACATTGACCCAGTATTTAGTTTCTACAGTAAATCATATTTAGAACGTGGAAAGGTAATGTGTCCGATTTATGTTATTTCAAAGTGTTGTTGTGTTTTGTTCATTTTCATCAAGGTTTTTCATTTGTAGTAAAAAGCAATAACTTCACTTTACTGCTGTCATCACGGTTATTGCATATTCTTTCCAACATAAAAACACATGCATTCTCAATAAAACAAATGGTGAGTAAAGGGAATAAACACACACACACATTGTTTCTATGTACTGTAGAACTGAACACATTTAATTTAAAGTAAAGCAACTCATGTCTGCAGCGCGTCTTCAAGACATGGTTGTGCAGGTTCCGTACAAGAATAGCTTGTTATGAGCCTGAATATTGACACCATTATGCATACAAAGGATCTAATTACATCACAAACTGCTTTGGATGGACATCTTCTCGCCTTCCCTGACTTGTGACCACAAGGAAGGCCGGGGGGAAAAACAGAATGAGTGCCTCTAACTCTTAACTCTTTCTAAGCACATCTCTGTATGTTAGTTGTCCTCTGGAATTTGTCTTCTGCATTTTACCAATTCTTCCGATGACACTAGGACCTGGACATGACTTTAAATTTGAGGTGTTCAGTGGTAACCGGAGCTTGATGAAGGTGTATTTTAGATGAAGTGTCCATTCATGACCAAACTTAATAACTCATCATACTTATATAGTACATATTTGGATGGTTTGTGGGAGGAATGTTCAAGGTTCACCAGGTACCACAAGGTTCAGTGCTTTCTCCTGATGATGGGAGTGAGGAGGTGCTGGAGGAGGTGGTCAGTGATGATTCTTGTCCAAGGTGTTGTTTGAGGACAAAGGGTGTTGTGATCTTTGGTGCAGGAATGTACTTGTTCAGAATGTTGCTTTTTGTTGTTTTACCTTTTTAAAGAATTGTGTTGTGTCATGTAATTTATCGAATTAAAAAATGACGTGTTCAAAATCCCATATAAAGATGACCAACATTCAGATAGTTAAATCCAAAAAGGTTTATTCCCCATTACAAAGCGATCTAAACAGTGATCTGGACTTAAATGACCTCTCCCTATCAAGGTCTATATCTATATACGAGTGCCCCGGTCCAGGTCTTTGGTCTTGGGGCTGGCTCGCACAATTTTCCTCCTCGACAGCTCTCCACTTTGTCTGAAAAACATCTTTACTCCCAAAATCCTAACTTCTCCTTTTAAGTGTAGGAATCTCATGGTCACTAGGACTTGGCTATAATTAATAATAACTCCCCATGTTGGTATAAAACACCTGTGAGTAGTACAACACATCAAACAATAAAGTAATCGTTACTACATAAAATTCCTGAGAATATAAGGTAAATATGTTTATTCACTTGGTTTTGTGTGTCAGCGTGTGCATGTAATATATGTATATACAACAAATTAAATAATTTAGTTTTTGAATTAGAGCTCTATTGATGGGCTCTTGTTTACCAGGAGTCTAAACAGTGCAGTAAGCTCCTTCAATCAATAGTAGCTTTGGCATACAAAATACAATACCCGAACATGAGTTGATTGTAATTGACGGAATAAAACTGTCCCACATGACTTTCTTTTTATTCCCTATTCATTCTGCAGGGTTCTTTGGGTCATTTTGCGAAGTAAATCTCAATGAGTGTGAATCGAAGCCCTGTCAAAATGGAGGAACATGTGTGGATGGGATTGACCAATATCAGTGCGCCTGTCTAGAAGGTATGTGTTACACGCAGAGGCCAGCAGAGGTATCATAGACTGTAGTCAAGGAATAGCTGACACCCCTAGCATTTACTGATGAGAGCCAACTCAAACAGGCTTTTATTTAGTTCATTTGAAGCTAAATTGTCTGCTACTACCTATCTGCATCAATTACCAGTATGTATGTTTTTAATTTGTTTATTTTTGCATAATGTTGTCACAATATTTTGTGAATTGCATATATACATATTGAAATTGAAAATATACCAACTCATAATGAAAATAAGAAAGATAAAGACTGTGTCATCAAAGAGCAGCCATGCTTCTTTGGACTCTCCACTAGAGGTGTGACGATATATCGATTTTTTGATATATCACGATACTTTCTCCCGCAATTCGATTATCGATATGCATTTGCAAAGTATCGATATTGATTTTGAAAAAAAAAATTGATATTGATTTTGAAAAAGAATTGGTATCAATACTTAATATATGGCTACATTACGCATCTCCATTCTATTTATTATGAAATAAAGAGTGTTTTTTATTTTATTTATGCCATAAATTGGCATATTGTATATTTCTGACCAATATATTAATAATCATATCGTGATAAAATTGTTATCGTAATATCGTTATCGTGATATTATCGTTATGGTGAGCTTTGTATCGTGTATCGTATCGTATCGTCAGGTACCCTTAGGTTCCCACCCCTACTCTCCACCTGCAAAAGGATCAGTGAGGGGGGAGATTGCCACCCCCCCTCCGACCCAAAAATGGATTAAGGGGAAGAAAACAGACAAATACTGTTGGTTCATTTCATACTTTTTTATATGTATGTATGTACAGTATTTTCATTTGTATACTGCAGCCATTCCCAAACTCAGTAACACCGAGGCCCCCTTAAAAATCTGACGGGTCTGCGTGGCCCCCCAAAATAATAACCAAGAAGACAACATTAAGAATAGGATCTTCTGGTTATTTTATTTTGGGGAAATAGCCTCTGCTGGGGGGTGACAGTAGCTCAGTTGGTAGAGCATTGGCCTTAAGCCCAGAAGGTCGTGGGTTCAATTCCCACCTCTGCACCTTCTCCACCGACTCCCACTGATGACTGCTGTCGTTGTGTCCTTGGGCAAGACACTTAACCCCACTTTGCCCAAAGCCCCCACTGAAAGATCAAGGCTATGCTCACATTGACAGAGCAGCCGTCCTCCTGTGGACTCACCACCTGCAGAGGGTCAGTGAGGGGCTGGTGCTATGAGACTTGGGTGGCATCTCTGACTGCCACCCCCCTGACCCAGAAATGGATTAAAGAAATGGGCCTCTGCTACAAACATTGTAATACAAAAATGATTACAGTGGATTATTCAAGTCAAATAATGAACACAAATATTTTAATATTACAAACAAAACATTATAATTTTAACATTAAATAATTATATATATATATATTTTTTTTTTTATGACCTCCCGCGGCCCCCCTGCAGTACCCTCGCGGCCCACCAGGGGGCCGCGGACCCCACTTTGGGAGACACTGGTATACTGTATATCAACACATGCCTTGGAGAAGTACTGCTATAGCTCCTTTTATTGTACATAATACTGTATATCCTGCACATACTATATTGTTACTTTGACCATGTTTGCGCACTTAAAGGAGCTATACCCGTTTCTGCAAGGTTTGAATGTTTAGCACCATCCCTCAACTCGCTCATAGGTCTCTCATTTACCCTCTCATCCCACGGAGCCATCTAGTTTTATTTGCGATCTGATACATATGCAAACATTAGCATGAGCGCAACTTCTTGTAAGCTGTACAACAGTCACTGATGAAATGGTACAAAAGCAACGCACTGCTAACAAAATATATAACTGAAAGATTACCGCTAGTTTTGAATACTTGATTATTATTTATTATACAGCTCCCCACAGCAGCAGTAGAATGCTCCATTGATTTGAATATAAGTTCAAAACGTTCTACCAATAATTTTTTCTTGATAACAGAACTCTCAAACCAATAATGACCGCCACCCTTTGGCAACGCAATCTCTGTTTGGAATTCAGGTGTGTAAAATACTAACATTACTCTGCAAGTACAAGGAGCTTTCAGCGCCTGTTACTACTTCTGTCTGTGCAGAGAAGCTATCGAAGCTAGCCGAGCTAGCCACGCTCAATAAACAAATACCAATCAATCAGCACCTTTAAATGTTAATCGGAGAATACATTATACATATACATCCTTAACACACATGCACGGAGGTTTTCAGAATTATCATGACAAAAATACTGTTTTAATGTGACAAAAATCGATTGCGATGAACCCGGAAGTAACCATTAACATAAAGCGAACATTTTAGGACACATTTGAAGAGGATCTGATAGATTTAGGCTCGGTATATAAATGGGTAACTCACCGCTGATGTTCAGAATTCTTTGTTCAGTTTTCATGTAGTAGCTAGCTTTGCTGTTACCCGCCTAGCGCGTCACGGCGAAACCTTCGGGAGCTAACTATTTTATTTGCAGTCATTAAATACATATTGAATATTAAGGGGTGTTTAATATTCGTTTGAATATATCTATATATATTTATTTATTTTTTCGAATCATTTTTGAATATAGAATTTCGAAGTCAAAGCCCTAGTGTTTACCAGCGCTGTAGAGGCTAGAGGATGCCGCCTGTTCGCTGCTCGTTCTGTGATTGGAGGAGAGCGGGCGTCACGCCAAGCCCTATCACAGAACGAGCATTACGGATTTTCACGGCATTACGGATTATAATACAACTTGTATGTAGTAATTAGCCTTTTATGAACTCATTAGAAAAGAAATAGGGTATAGCATGTTTAATATCTTTTTGTCATGGTGTGGGTTTTATTTTTGTATTTTTGTTTTATTTTGACATTGTTCTCTCTGGTTTGGTTTTAGTTGTACTTCCTGTCCTGTTTCCCCCTGTCTTGATTGTCTGCCCCGCCCTGATGTGTTTCACCTGTGTCTCTGTGTCTATATGTACCCTGTGCTTCTCTCCCCTTGTTGCTGGTTCATTGTCTTGTCAATGTCCTGTCTTGTCTTGTTCATGTCCTTGTCCGTTCTGTTTTGTTCTGTTCCTGGTTCCCTGTGGTTTTGGATTTTTGAGTATGTTTTCATCTACCCTTTTGTTTTTTCATCATTAAATTATTTTTATTTTGGCATTTCCTGCATTTTGAGTCCTTCATTCGCCTCCCCCATGACACTTTTTGCACAATTATTTGGCATAGATCTACTATCTATGCCAAATGTGACATGTAAATGTGAGATCAATAAAGTTTATCTTATCTTATCTTAAGGCCCTATTTGGCCGAAACACGTAGCATCCCTGTACCTTAAAGGACTTTCAAAAGAGATGAGTAATATCCGAGGCAGTCTTTAAGTTTCCAGTGTTTTTTTTCACTTCTTATCCTGATGAGCACCTGACAAAGCTAGACCCACTGAAGCGCTCATCTCTGTTGAACATTTGTATTTGTATGTATATACTGTAAGCACAGTAGACAACATAACAATGTACAATAGTATCTCCATAAACTAAGGAATGTAAATATTATAAATACGTATGCATGTATAATTCCTGCTTGAATAAAATAATAAAACAAAATCAAATTGGTTAGCCTGATTATATGGCTGACCCTCCAACAAATAAAATGTATTGTGGTCCTAATCCTTTACCAACACTGATTTTGTAACCCAAACTCAAACTCATTTGGACCGCAGTGGATGACAATTATAAAAAAAACCTTATATCAAGTAAACATGTGTCCAACCACCCATCGATAACAGGCGTGTATCCAACCTACACAAACCTGTTACAAAATTCTGAATAAAACTACAATGTAGGATGTACTGTATATCTTTCCATGTTAATGCAAATAATGAAACATCATTATAAATAAAAAATAGCCGAATAGCTGTGAACCAGTGAACAGGAACATTTTCTACATCATATATGATACTCAAATTAGTGACCTGTAATTTATGTTGGTAAAGGTTTATTTTATGTTTCTCAACAGTGGCGACTCAGTTGAATGCTCCTTAACATAGTAAATTAGTATTTAACAAATGATGCTTAGGAGTCGCAGCATGAGATTTACGGTAGAATAAATGACTGTATTTTCCCAATAATTTCGTGCTCCAATTGACACCTTGCCTGTGAGACATACTTCTGATTAAACCGTGATTGCGGATAAAGTCTGCTATGCATTTTTTATGAAGTCAGGATAATTGTCAAATTTTATGACATGGAGAGAGGGGAAATTAGTTCCATGGTCAGTTTGAGAAATGATGAGAATTTGACCTGCACCGATGGCGCTGATAGCTGAGCATTAGTCATGGGCCTCCTGTAGCCGCTATGTGTGACAGTGCTAATGATAGTCATTTTGTAGCGTGACCATGCAGTGGATTATATTTATGAGGGACTAAAATGTCAGAAATTGGCACCCTTTACTTTTACTTGATGACATTAACATATTTATAAATATAGGCCACCTCCATCTAATGTAATGAACAAGATAATATTTCCTGACACAATAGCAATACCATATTTCAAATGTTGGTTGTGATGCTTCTTTACATTTTGTTCTTTTCACAATAGGGTACGGAGGGCTGAACTGTGAAATCAACTTTGATGAATGTGCCTATGGATACTGTGCCAATAACTCTACATGTATTGACCTGGCTGGAGACTATAAGTGCATCTGTCCTCCGGGTTACACTGGTGAGTTATCTGTGTCATCAACAGTTTCATCGTTTGGACTTGAATCAAGTGAAGATTTATGGCCCTTTATTCATCTAAATACAACTGGCTAAATAGATATAAATTACAACTGCAGAATATAGGACAAATTGATTGTTCTCAATATTGACAAACACAATGTTAGTTTTGCGATACACAACATTTATTGAGAACATATTATGGCAGAAAAATGATTTTGTACATGACTGATGTGATGTATCTAATCTGGAAGACCACCAAAAGAAAGAAATCTATGTAACTTTTAAGGAAAAATTGGATCACTTTGCTGATTCGAGGTAGTCTAAAGAGAACTGTGTTCATAATTATATATTTTGATATAATACATTTGATCCATACAGGTGTCAGATATATTCAAGTGTATGCGTTCTGTAAGTGTTTTTTGCCTTCTGGTGGTAAAAAAGATCTCTATCAAAAAAAGTACATATATGATAAGAGAACCTTTATTTGTATCACAGTTGGGACATTTTGATGTTGCAGCGCACACACAGAACTGTAAAAACACTAACGGTAACTAGCTGTAATACATGTAGCTACTTTTATAGTTTTGATATTTTCATTCCTTATAAAATGTATTTTTTTTAGTGCTGTCCAACGATTAAAATATTTAATCGCGATTAATCGCATGAATTTCATAGTTAACTCGCGATTAATCGCAAATTAGTCACCCATTTGCGTGCTGTGTGCAATTTCTTTTTTTATTGAAAACAATGTGTAGTGTTATATTACACACTAACATTTGATGCAAAATCATCAATAAATGGATGACAAAATAAATAATTGGTAACAAAAAGCCCCTTCAATGTGTGTGTGTGTGTGTGTGGAGTGTGTGTGTTTATGGGTGTGGGTGTGTGTGTGTGTGTGGGTGTGTGTGTGTATGTGTGGGTATAGACCATAGACTGTATATAAACATCATGGTGTCATTATGATGATGATAAACAATTTTTTTGTAAATTTGTTCATGTAAATACTCTATAGTGTTTCTCTGTTTACTTTCGGTATATCTATGACTGTATACTGTTTGCTTGTATTGCCTTTTTTATTAACCCCTCCCCCCCATCTCCCACTTCATGTCCCCCCCCCCCCCCCCCCCTCCTATGTGCCCTTCTGGGTTTCTTCTTTGGCCCCCTGTATCTCCAACTACATATTGTTTGTAATCTCTGTCTACAATGTATCTTAACTAGTCCTTTTCTTGGTGTCTATTTTTTTCTGTATATGTGTTTGTCTGCAATAAAAAGTAAAAAAAAAAGTAAAAAAAAAAAAAAAATTTTTTTTTTTTTTTTTTTTTTTTAATAATTATAAAAAAAATTAATGGCGATAAAAAAAATGACGCCGTTAATATTGATTTGCGTTAACGCGTTAATAACGCGATATTTTGGACAGCACTAATTTTTTTTATTTTTTTTTACGTTAAATACTGGTGTTAAACTGACTTGTGAAACAAAACTTCGTAGAGGAGTGTCTATCTTAATCTAGTCTCAATTTGTTACCCTCACAAGCTCCATTACAGAGGCAAATACACTCCACTGCCCATCCTTCTTTCCCCTAATATGGATTGTCATTACTTTCTGTAGTCTCTTGTATGAGAAACTAATCTAATAGCGGTGGGTCTTGTTCCTCATTTGTATTTAACGTCTTTATTCTCTTCTCAGGTAAAAGTTGTTCAACTTATGTCTCAGGGTGTGCACTGGAAGTTGAGTACTGCAAAAATGGAGGAACGTGTTTATTCAACTTGTTAGGAGAAACACTCTGTGTCTGTCCTCTAGGTATATTGTATTTGATAAATATATGCTATACTATCTTTACATATACTGTAGGTAGTGAGTTTAGGCCACTTATCAAAAGTTGTGTTTTTGAAGCTGGCCAAATATGAACGTGGTCTATGGCTTATGGGGAATGAATCAGCAGTAAGTGACCCATGGTAACTAGTACTGAACATGTATAAATAATGTGTTACTAAAGTATACAACAATCAGACTTCTGCATAAATTACTATTGTTGGTCATAATATCTGTATACTTACTGTATGTGTGATGTGATTCTTTAAGTGGATGCATATCTCTGATGGTGCTTTTAAATCACTATGCCATAAAATGGGCCGCAAGTAAATGTAGTCTACATGAAAAATACATTATACACACTATAAACATGTTTAATTTAGTTCCAACATTCTTTCAAAAGTCAAGCTTTCAGCTTACCTAGAAAGGTATTAAGATTCTGCATGCACAAGTAAGTAAGTAGTAAGTAAGTAAGTAAGTAAGCTTTATTTATATACCGCCTTTCACAGACCAGAGTCACAAAGCGGTTTACAATTGTTATTTTTTGGGCATTTGTCCTCTCACTCCACACAGAGATGGGAGCGGGGTCGCCGAACAGGAGGCGCATGCCAGACATATTGTACATATTTTTAGTGGTAGGGGAAACCGGAGTACCCGGAGGAAACCTACGCAGACACGGGGAGAACATGCAAACTCCACTCAGAAAGTGTACACATAAGGAATAAATGACGGCATAAGCCACATGACACAGCCTGATTATTGCTAATATTTCTTCAGTACCAATAGAGCTGTAGAATTTGTTAAGAAAAAAATGGCAATGCCAATGTTATGTAGAATCAAATCCATGCTGTAAGTCGGTACTTGGGAAGCTCTTCACATAATGTATACATAGCAACAATCTCTTTTCTTTGATCCCACTTCTCACAGGATACTACGGCTTTGACTGCTCCTCATCTGCAAACCACTGTGCATCTAATCCATGTGACTCTGAAGGGGCTCTCCAATGTGAAGATCTGGTGAGCACTTATACATGTGTGTGTCGACATGGGTACGCAGGGCTGCAATGCACAACACCTATCGGCCACTGTATTGACAACCTCTGCCAGCACGGAGCCACTTGTATGGATCTATCACCTGGCTTCACGTGTTATTGTTCACCAGGTTTGTATTGCGTGCAGTGAAGTAATATTCCAATACATTCATGTCAGTTTCCACATATTCATGTCGGTTTCCACATATGATATAATTTTGTCTATGTCCATGACATCCTTTGAGATACCTACTTGTACAAAATTCAGCTGTAAAAATGAACACTGAATTGACAAGAACACTCTAAAGTAAATATTTATATAATTATACATGATTGAGTATACAACATTCAGATTTCTGCACATTGGTTTCCACATGGGTCAGGAGCTGACTCCACAGTATAGGAGTGTGGTAGCTGAATGCTCTGCTTTTATATAGAACTTTTTGTTAACTCATTTTATTCAGTTCTTGAATCAATTTAATTGATCATTGTAGACATTGGAAGTATTAAATAATCTATTATGTGCCTTGTTTTTTCATTTACAGGTTTTACTGGGCAATACTGCGAGGCCAATATTGATGATTGTGAAGGTAACCCATGTGGTTCTCTGAGTATTTGTAAAGATGCTGTCAATGGATTTGAATGCTTTTGTGCTCCGGGTTTTGTTGGTAAGTCATCTTTGCTGAATATGAATAATTATCTCTGATTAAGTTACATGAAGGACACCTTTTCCGTCGTATAGGACCAAACTGTGAGGTTGAGGTGAATGAATGCCTCAGTAATCCTTGTGTAAACAGTGGCTCCTGTGTCGATGAACTAAATTCTTACAGCTGTTTATGTCTTCCAGGAATATCAGGTATGTTACACACATACATACATATTCATTTTTAATGCTCACAGCATAGTTAGTTTATAATTGCTTTGACTACATCAAGCACATTGGATGGTGTTGGTTGGAGGCTCTGATTTGCCAGTATTTTCGGTGTCTCGCTTCCGTCATCACCGTGTGTACATAGTAGAACAATATCTGAACTCGGAAAATAGTGAAGCGCTTTGGGTGACCTTGGTCTGTAAACATGCGCTTTATAAATAAATAAACATTAACAAATTCAGGTTTTTTCACCCTTTTTACATGTAGTCACACCAGCTGCTGAGGTGCAGTGAAAGGTCACAGTCAGTGCGAGTCACTTATCATTATGGATTGTGTGAAGACATATTTTAAGTTATGTCTTCACAAAAATGTTCAAAATGTGCTGTTCATTTAAGGCAAGAAGCTCTACCTTCAGAGAAAATAAAGACCCTCATAACCTCACAATTACCTCAAAAACTCAAAGCAGACAATGATGCCTAAGGAGCAATACACGCTATTGAGAACTGGGGGATGGAAAGTTCTAATTAGTCATTTGATAATTGAAAACATGTTTATCTAACAATGAGTAAAAAGTAAACTATGATTCATAATTTCTGAAATTTGGTCAATTTTCTGTTTTTAACATGTCTGCATGGGGTTGTAAACTATAAAGCACAAATGTTCTTTTATGGAAAGGTGATTCATATAAAATGTGAGTGTTATTTTGACTAAATTCCCGTATTTCTTTCTTTTGTAGGAAGGTTCTGTGAAGTCAACATCGATGAATGCGTTTCCTCTCCTTGCCGGAACAATGCCACATGTGTTGACCTTGTCCTTGGCTTTGATTGTGTCTGCATCCCAGGCTACACAGGTACGTATTACAAACCCATGAGCTCCATAATATTTCCATACAAAATACTTGGTGTATTTGGTCTGAATTTTGTTGTGTTGAATGTGCTCATTGTGAATATAATTGACTACATATGGCTACTGGGACTGGAGTTCGCTACAGCACAAATTAGACACTAATGTCTCTCATTCCAGTTTGATAAAAGGAGCAATAGTTTAAATCCACATAGGTCAGAGATGGGACAAAGTCATTGTTTGGCAAGTTTAATGCAACAAACTCTGCTCGTTTTCTTCCCGCTCTAGCTCTGCTCTGATCAGCAGCTGATTGGTCAAAGCTCTGGCGATCCCCTTTGTGCGCGTGCAGACCAGAAGACCTGGAGGACCAGACGATGCCCAATTATGGATGAGTTCCGGCAATCTTTTCGGTGCCCATGGCTGTCCGATGCGCTACTGAGCACAAGCTATTCATTTGAATATGGTGCCATCTTGGATCACCGGGGCTTGCAAAACACCCACCGGTGAATGGAGAACTCTTATTTATGGAAGCATTGCTGCAGGGACCGTGGGAACTCATGTCTCTCGCTTGAGCGCTACAACTACTGCAAGACCTTTTCCTCAGAGATGGCATAAGTACAATAAAAACAGAGATGTGGAGAACTGTAAAAATTAAAATATATACATATGTATATATACACACACAATTTCGCCCGGTTACGGCGGCTTGAGGGTTCTGCGCAGTATCTTTGCTTTTCCTGGCACTGCAAATCTCTGGACCAAAATTTCCGAGGTTGTTCCGGGGATCTGCTGTTACCAGTCCTCCAGCTTCGGGGTCACTGTCCCGAGTGCACTGACCACCATGGAAAGGCTCAGAGAGGCTCTCTCCAGCTCCTCTCTGAGCCCTTGGTATTTCTCAAGCTTTTCGTTTTCTTTTTTCCTGATGTTACTATCGCTTGGAATTGCCACGTCCACCACCACGGCTTTCTTCTGCCCTTTGTCCACCACCGCAATGTCAGGTTGGTTCATCATTATCATTCGGTCGGTCTGTATCTTGAACCACAGGATCTTGCATTGCATCAACGGTTCAGGCTTGTGGTGGGGGTGTAATGGTGTGGGGGATGTTTTGTTGGCACTCTTTGAGTCCCTTCGTTCCAATTGAGCATTGTTGCAACGCCACAGCTCACCTGAGTATTGTTGCTGATCATGTCCATCCCTTTATGACCACAGTGTACCCATCTTCTGATGGCTTCTTCCAGCTGAATAAAACACCTTGTCATGAAGCTTAAATCATCACAAACTAGTTTTTATTGAACATGACAATAAGATCACTGTACTGTAGGGCTGGGCGATCATTCGATTTTAATTATTAAGTTGAATTTGACGTTTAGGGGATTTCTTTTTACTGAAAACTCCCTAATGCTAACAGTCTCCCTTCTGTCCTGATCCTCGCTGTCAAAGTGTTGCTGTTGCAATAACACTTCAGACGTTCAAGAATCAGATTTTTTTTATCACCAGAACACACCAACCTTTCATTCTTTCATTCTCATTCATTCATTTCTCAGAGCTCACGCTCGTTACTCCAAAGCGCACTCTCATGTCCGCGTCGCGCTCACGCACAGACTTGTGTCCCACTGAGCTGCTGCACTTTGGGGAAAGACACACATTTCTCTGATACAATCGCAATCCATGCTCGAGCTGATAGCGCTACAATAGCAGAATGTAAATAGGAAGAGAAACGGAAACTTGACTCAATCCCCGAGGTAGTCTGGGATTGAGTTAAGCCAGCTGGTGGCGCTGATACTTTTTTTTAGCGCCACCAGCTGGACAGAGCGTTGTACTACAGCACAGTAGCTCTGGGACGGTTGTAAAAGACTTTCTCTGTTATAACAATTGTATTTCGAGTAATCAAATGTGATATTTAATGTAAATAATGCATTTGTTTAATATGATTGATATATTTGCTATGGCCCTCGTTTGTGCATTTTAAGTTATTTTGAAGGTGCATTGTGTCAAGTTATTAGAAAACTGTTAAGCTACATTTTCACTGTTTACAATGGCAGGGCCATCTCGTTTACAAGCATGTTTTAAGGCTGATTTCCTGTTACACTTTTGCTCCATGGGGAAATTTAGTTTAAACTGCATAAACAAAAATCTATTTCTTTGTCAGTTGTAGTTTTTAAAAAATAGGAATAGAATTATCGATTTAAAATCAGCCATATCGCCCATCCCTACTGTACTGTAATGGCCTCCACAGTCACCAGATCTCAATGCAATAGAGCAACTTTGGGATGTGGTGGAACAGGAGATTCACATCATGGATGTGCAGCTGACAAATCTGCAGAAACTAATCAACTAATATTGACCAAATATGAATCAAATATGGACCAAACAAGGTACTGGACACATTTCAGTGTCCAGTACCTTGTTGAATCTATGCCACGAAGGATTAAGACAGTTTTGAAGGCAAAAGGGGTCCAACCCGAGACCCAAGGTGTACTTAATAAAGTGGCCGGTGAGTGTATATACTGTATATACCACTGATAATCTCCTTTGATCTGGGGCTCCACGCAAGATCTCAACCCAGTGGGGTCTAAATGAAGAACGGCGATCAAAAATCCAAGAACCACACAGCATTTGGAGCACTTGGATTATCCAGATGAGGATTGGGAGAATGTCATATGGTCGATGAAACAAAAATAGAACTTTTTTGTGAAAACTCAACTTGGAGGTGAGCTGCATCCAAAGAACACCATACCTACTGTGAAGCATGGGGGTGGAAACATCATGCTTTGGTGTTGTTTTTTTCTGCGAAGAGACCAGGACGACTGATTCATGGAAAGAAAATAATTAATGGGTATGTATCCTGAGATTTCAAACCTACTTCCATCAGCAAGGGCATTGAAGATGAAACGTGGCTGGGTCTTTCAGTATGACAATGATCCTAAACACACCACCCGGGCAACGAAGGAGTGGCTTTGGACAAAGCATTTCAAGGTCCTGGAGTGGCCAAGCCAGTCTGCAGATCTCAACCCCATCGAAATTCTTTGGAGGGAGTTGAGAGTCCATGTTGCCCAGCAACAGCCCCTCTAGAGGAGATCTGCATGAAGGAAAGGGCCAAAATACCAGAAACAGTGTGTGAAACCCTTGTGAAGACTTAAAGAAAAAAAAATTGTATGATGAAAATTACAGGCCTCCTTCCTTTTTTTAATTGGGAGAACTTATGCCTGGTGGCTGACTAAATACTAAATTTGTTGCCCCACTATTTATATAAATTCAGTGTATATATATTATATATTGCAGTAGAAGTTCACACACTATAATACAAACATTATGTGTTGAAGTTGGATGGATTAAGTCAGTTTTTCATTATCAGTTCTTCTGTCTCAGGTGAGAATTGTGAAGTTGACATTGATGAGTGCGAGTCTCTCCCCTGCAAGAATGGTGCCACGTGCATTGACCTGCCCGGTAATTACTTCTGCCAATGTGTGGCTCCATTTAAAGGTAATACGCACTGAGGGAATGGGGACAAAAACAATGGAGACGAGTTGATTAACCTGACATTCTTTTATTTTCACCTGTCTGAAAGAAACCTAATCACACATCTAAATAAAGCAAATGGCAACATTTGTTTTCAGGATTGTATTGAATTGTATGTAAGAATTGTGTCAAAATCACAATGTATAGAAAGTATATAAATGTTAAATGTTAAATATAAAATGTGTTTTATAATGTTGTTAACAGCAACAGGATTTAAATCTGAAAAAATATTGATTCTCAGTCGATAAATGGGAGTTACACACCAAACAGTTTGGTGTGTAAATAAAATGCACTGATTGGGAGCTACATAGCTGTGCCGATATTTTTCATTGTTTTTACGTCTTGCATTAATCCAGCACGCTAGCCCAGACTACAGGGATGTGCGGCCTTATTTGAAACTTTCAAGAAGTAAAAAAGTGCCTAAACATTTATTTTCCCTTGTGTTTTGACCAAAAATAAGTATTTAGCATATATGTCTCCATCCTTGTTCATAAATTTACCAAGGTTATACAGATTTACTGACAAATATAATGTATGTAATGTAAATAGAAGTAAAAGTATATGGTAGGAAATCGTAACTAAGATTTTGAACCCCTTTTTTTACATACATGTATGTACAGACAAATGAATGAAACAAATTCTTGATACGGTCAGATAAAGTAAAGTGCAAAACCAACAATTTACAAATTCAAATGTACGTATGTCTCTTGAGACCAGGTGAGGGATCGAATGGTCATTCATTGCTCATTGGTAATCTTCTCACTTATGGGAAGGGATTCTCAAACAACTAAATATACACACGACAACTCAAGTACAAGCACAAAACAGAATGGCAACAGATACAGCACACTAGAAGGACGTTTTAGCTTAGCTTGCTGTTGATAGCTAAATGTAGCAAACAGACTATCAAACTTTTACACAAGTAGATACATTTCAGTGAGAGCTTTGGGCCAACGGGATACATAGCTAACCAGTTTTTCCAGGATTAGCACAGACTAGTCACAAATTAAGAGCTGGGATAGAGATGTGGAGAACTGTAATAATGAAAATATATTCATATGTATATATACACACACCTTTCGCCCTCCGCGGGGGATCCTTCTTGTTCCGTGTTGTGCGTTCGAGCTCCCTTTGAATTCTTTCTTTGGCCTTAAGAGACGTGTGGACCTCGTTGACCGACCAGGACGTTGACTTTTGGGGCTTTCTGTGCGATTCCATTTCTCTGGAGTGAGGAGGACGTATGATAGCAGAGCAGCTGGTTTTAAAGATGGCGAGGTTGAGTTGTTTTTACCATAGGGTCGGACGTTGCTTCCAGTGACGACACTCGTTGACCAATCAGTGTAAGGCAGTCGGTTGACGTAACTTTATGATGTAGCTTCGGCACGCTTGGAACCACTGTCGAGGTGGTATGAAAAAAGTACCCTGATGCCAAGCCCAACCCTAGTGGAAATGCAAAATAACCGTGCCGTGCCGTAGCGTTCCGTTACTATGGAAAAGCGGCATTATATGCAAACGGCCACTTACTCAATTTGTATTTTGAAATATTCTCAATTACATAATCCAATCTTCATGCACATCTCTTTTTCTGACCTGGGGATTTAAATGATTAGTCGTTATAGATATAGGGCATTGATACAGTGTAATTTTTCTTCCTAGGGTCAAAACATAATATGTTTAATTTTTCACATAAAAAGTATACAATTCTCTAGGTAGACATGAAGTTCTTAGGTCTAGTGCCGTCAACATGAGACAACATGTACTGTAGCTGTTAGAGTTCCAAAGCAATTGTTTGGAACTACGCGTTTTTGCCTTCTCGCCTTCTTCATGCCCTGAAGAAGGCCAAAAGGCTAAAATGCATAGGCGTAATTTTAACCTCTTTTTAATAAAGGCTTTTTAAAACTTTTTGAGTACCTCAGTCTTCTGTATGAAGTTTTAACATTGGTCTCTCCGCTGAAGGGCACCATAAGTTTACTTTTTTCCTTGCTTTATTTTTGCATCCAAGAAGAACCCTAGCCCTGTTTACTGTTTATAATTGTTTTTTGTAATTTTTTCTGAAATACCAATTTTCACTACTTGTGAAATAACACCTTATTCATTCATACATGTTTTCTTCAAAAACCATAACATTCTGTGAAGCCCCATCCCAGGAGCTTTGATGGCAGAAGAGTTTGAGCATATGTCCATAAGCACCGCGTCCCCATTGACCGTCCTGGTATAAACCTGGTTTATGATGAGTCGCTGTACTCAATGCACATATCTCACTGCAACAACAAAAAACCTGCTGTACAGGTCTATTGACTTTGTAAACCTGCTACAGCACTTGGTCTGGTGGGTCAAGTAAAGCTTAATTTAAGAGTTCTGTAACATACATTTTGATTGTTACAAATATCAAAAAAGCATAAGCGTGTGCATTAGGACATAAAAATAATAACAGTAGAATAATAATGATTATATGTTTTGTGGATAGTACAAAGATATAAACTTCAGTAGCGACCCCATTATTTCAATGGAGCTATTTCCCCTTCCTCGCTGCAACAGAAATGACGCACTTAAGTGTCAACAATTATTTCAAATCGGCTTCAGTAAAAGCGTGTTATGAAAATGTTCTCAGAATGTATGTTCTGAGTACTGAGTTAATGTTAAGTGTCTTTCCAGCGGTCATGTGGTGCTTTTGACTGCGTTTTATGGAGTACTGTAGGGAACAGCCAATATGGCTTTAGTAATCCATACCTGCCGGTATACAATGCTGCTGTTTTTCTCCACATATTTTCAGTTGTGTGCTTGTCCTAAAAGTGTTTCCTTCCTCTGTTCCCTTCAGGCCATAATTGTGAGTTCTTGCCCTGTGAGGCCAGTAATCCCTGTGAGAATGATGCTGTGTGCGTGGAGGAGTTGGATCAGGACCATTTCCCTTTGGGTTTCCGCTGTCGCTGTCGCCAGGGCTTCGATGGCCCCCGCTGTGAAATCAATGTGGATGAATGCAGCTCCAGCCCCTGTTTGCACGGTTTCTGCTATGATGGTAAGAAGCTCCTAGTCTGAGTTAAATAACAGACAGAGACAGTACTGCAAAGTACTCCCACACACACCAACGCACACCAGGATATGTCAAATTTGGTTCTGCTCACTTACGCTCAGGCTGGCAGTTTTCAATTGGGTCACCACTGCTGCTTATTAGCTGCAATAGTATTATTATGGTGTTATGAGACTAGAGTTATTACATCTGATGGGAGGATCTTGGACAATGCCTGCTGAAGCAGGCTTGATTAGTTCCACAACAAATGAAATTGATTACGTATCAATACAGTGTGTTGGTGTTGTAATTTAGATTTGTAATTGGATTATAGAATTAAACAGGTTAGGGTTGAATATGTTGGTTATAAGTGGCTGGGAACGGGCGGCACGGTGGCTGAGTGGATAGCACTCTCGCCTCTCAGCAAGAAGGTCCTGGGTTCGAATCCCGGTTGGACCAGGGCCTTTCTGAGTGGAGTCTGCATGTTCTCTCCGTGTCTGCGTAGGTTTCCTCCGGGTGCTCCGGTTTCCCCTACCACTAAAAATATGTACAATAGGTCTGGCATGTGCCTCCTGTACTGGCACCCCCACTCCCAAAAATAACAATTGTAAACCGCTTTGAGACTCCGATGTGCAGTGAAAAGGCGGTATATAAATAAAGATTACTTACTACTACTACTACTACTACTGGGAAGCAAAAATGAACGTTGGCTGGAAAATGTGTTTTCATATTCTTAAAATACTTAAATATTAAAACAAAACCTAGAATTCCCTAATAATCCATATAATGTAACTTTTCTCAAGTATCCAACACTTTATGATATTTTGGTTGATACTCCCAGTGTACTCTTATCATTAAAATTATTCCCCTTAATTAAGTTCTTATTAGATCCAATGCAGGTAACACTGCTCATTTTCAGTCCCAATAAAAGCATTATTATACAACAGTATAAACAACAGTGTTCTTATGTTGTGCAAGCCGTGAAAATAACTGTTTTAAGGAATTTCAATTTCAACTTATTGAGTTAGACCTGTAGGACCTATTGGCCTTTACTTACCACCAGCCTGTTAGTCTGTTGGGAGAGCCCTGCTTAGATCCACCGATCAAGATGAGTAATGTGAGTGCCACCCCGGACCTAAAGCGTTTAATGAGAGTAATAGTAAGAACATGCAACAAGACAGAGTGACAGCATGGATTACGTGGGATAATGAAGAATCCTGGGACCCTGACTGGGAGAGCAAGGAGGGTGACACATTCTCTGGAAAATGTAACAATCAAGTTAGCCTCTTTTATCATATATATAAAAAACGACATTATAATGACAATTGCAACTTATCACCATACAGCATTACACTTTCCTTTCTCTGTAGAGACAAGTAGAAGAGAAGCAGGTGACGCCCTCAGGTTATAAATCAGATCTATGGAGTACTGCTTATAGTGAGAATGTTTTCAAGTTTGTTGCAATAAAAATAGAACACACAGCTCGTGTCCGTATCATGAAAGAAGGTGCTTTGTGGTTTGTAAAGCAGCAACGGGTAGAATAACACTGCTGGAAAGTATTAAAGCAGTAAGTAACAATAATGTGTGAATGTGCTGGCTGTAAATGATCCATAGAAAACTGCTTGTGGCTGCCAAAGAAACCATGCCAGATGGAGGAAGATCCCTCATATAGGCGACATGAAGACACTTTATTTATGTAGCACATTCTAATCAGGATTGCAACTCAATGCACTTTACAATGTACACTGTAACACAAAAAGACAATTAAGAAAGAATAAGAAAGTCTAAACTAAAGTCAGTCTTTAGTTTCCTCCTAAATGAGCTTATAGTTGGAGTACATACAGTATGTCATCAGGCAGAGCATTCCAATTGTAAGGGCCGCAATGGGAGAAAGCAGCTTCTCCCACCTTCAGTCTCGCGCAAGGAACAGCAAGAACATTAAAGTCTGAGGATCTGAGACTGCACACAGGCTCATAAGGCACAAGTAAATCAGAAATAAATGAAGGATCCAGACTGGGGGGCTTTTTAAACAAGCCTGGAGTCAGGGGAGATCCTTTAGAAAAGGGGTAAAATATAAATTAAACAACAAAGATGTCCCATAGACTATAGCAGCCATGGGTGGTGCTCTTGATACTTATTCGCTAGAAGACCCTACAAAAATAAGAGGATATTTTTCATTCTCATTTAAACTTTTCCTTTTTTAAAGTTAAATATGCTATTCCTTAGTTACACTTCAGTATGTCCAAGTCTGAAGTCCTTTTTCCTTTTGTGTAGGTGCTTGGGAAACTAATAATTGAATACTTTGGATTCTTTCTTGTTTACTGTGAATAGAAGTTGGATAAGATGTGGATGAGGTAAAAATGGGAGAGGGGGCGGGTAAATGACTGCAGCAGACAGTTCATTTAGGGCTGGTTAGACTGTCTGTCAGGGTGATGGAGAGGGAGGCCATCTGTCACATAGATTTAGCTGCAAATGGATTGAGTGATACAACAGAGACGTATGTTTTAATGGCTGTATCCATTAAAAGATGAAGTCACAGTGGGTGGATTGACTTCTTATGTTCATAATCAGCATTTACCTTTGTGGGGATCCAGTTTATTATCAAAGACCAACTGTGAAATATGTACAGGATTTATGATGCAAGGTGTTGTAACGGTTTTTCATCTTGCGTGTCTTCAGCGGTGGATGGCTTTTATTGTCTGTGCAACCCTGGGTACGCCGGATCCCGATGTGATCAGGACATCGACGACTGTGTAAACCATTCGTGTAGTCGGAACTCGGTGTGCAGAGACCTTCACCTGGTATGTGCTTCTTCAACAGTCAGTCGCTGTTTACTTTGTTGTACAGGGCGCCGAAAAAAAAAAAAAAAAAAGAATAGAATAATATCCAGACTGAGAATGTATTTTAATCTTTTTGATATTTCAATGTTTAAAACTAGGATTATTTTTTAATATGTGGCTTTCTTTTATAATCGGCGACACGGTGGCAGAGTGGATAGCACTCTCGCCTCTCAGCAAGAAGGTCCTGGGTTCGAATCCCGGTCGGAGCAGGGCCTTTCTGAGTGGAGTTTGCATGTTCTCCCCGTGTCTGCGTAGGTTTCCTCCGGGTACTCTGGTTTCCCCTACCTCTAAAAATATGTACAATAGGTCTGGCATGCGCCTCCTGTTCGGCGACCCTGCTCCCATCTCTGTGTGGAGTGAGTGGACAAATGCCCAAAAAAATATAAAATAACAATTGTAAACCGCTTTGTGACTCTGGTCTGTGAAAGACGGTATATAAATAAAGATTACTTACTTACTTACTATAATGTGAAGCAAGAATAAATGTATACATGTACCGTTGAAACATAGAAAAATTAGAATATCGGCCAAAAGTTTGTTTACTTTAGCTGTAAATCATCTTACTGTGTGAAAGTAATATATGACTGACTTTCTTTGGTATGATGTTGATAATTGGCTCACAGCTTCCAGTTGATTTCTAGAAATAAATGAGCTTTTGAACTAAATTTCTGAGTTTCACTTGTACTTAAAAATAACCAGCAGTGAGGATGCTAGAGGAGAATCAAGACAATTGGCTCGCACACCCAGTGGTTCGACTCGAAAAGTTTAAGCGGGAGCGGTACAAGATGTATTCTCGAGTGTTTGTGAACTCACAAATACCGCGAGAATTCAGCTTGCAGGCAAGGTTAGTGGGACCCATCTCCAGATATTGATACTATGCTAGGCCTTAGCTGGAAGATTTATCTATTTCTGAACATAAACAAATAGTCAAATGTCAAATGGCTGTAAACTGCTCAAGAAATTACTGCATCTTTAATCAATTACAATAAATGACACTTTTGTATGTTTAAACATGGACAAAATGGCGGTTAGAGTGGTATAAAGCGTGTGTAGCTGAAAGTTTAGTCAATATGTTCTTGTTGTTTTAGGAAATGCGTTGGCTGAAACAGATGCCTCTTTAATAATGAAAAGGACTGTCATTCTACTGTTCTTGGAAAAAACTTACTGCCAAGATGGATAAAAAGAATGTGCAATCCTAGCTGATTTTGTATGCTCATACATGTTAGTGGTTTTTAGTTCAGATGTGCCAAATTATATCAAATAGAAAGTCAGTTCTTTGTTGCTCTCTTAAGCCGCTGTGCCCTGTCGTGTTCGATTCCACTTCCAGACAGGCCCTGTGTGGAGTTTGTATGTTCTCCCTGTGTCTGTGTAGGTATACTCTCAGAGTTCCGATTTCCCCTACCACCACTAAAAACATGTACAATTGGTCTGAACGTACTGAGTGAGTGAATGGATGGGTGTTTGCCGTCTTGCTGCTCCCATCACCCTGTTTTTATTTCTCTACTGATGAATACACAAACACATTCGTGGGCAAGAACACAAGGGGCCTTCATACAGTAGTCTTCCTCGACAGGAGAGGACATGACGAGACTGGACTGCAGTGGAATGTGGGGCTGGATAGTATGCAAAATAATATTCCAGACATGAGCTGTTGTGCAATATGATTTTATTGGTGAAATCCAGTGTCCCATTTTAATTCACCGCTAACTTGAACATGTTGGCCAGCCTCATGTTCCTAATCGTGAGTGACAAATGGATCTGTACAATGACTGTGAAGCATGAGTGTTCAGAAAGAAGCATAATTTTTTTATTCACCACTTCAAAGTAATTATACTTGGGAAATGTAAATAGTAATAAAATCAAAACTGTCATCTGCCATTACAAAAATTGTGATAAACTTCTTGATAAACTCCAGCCTCTTGCATCAATTCAATCTATGACGACCTAAAAATGCATTATTTTCATTGGTTCTCATTACGGACAAAATAAGAATTGATTCTGCTATTTTTCTGCGTGTGTTTTTCTGGCTGTTATAGGCATCCCAGAAAGAAAAACAGCATTATATACCTTTTATTTTTAACCTGGCTATATTTATTCAAGTCTTTTTTTCAGCCAATAACATTGATCTGTTTCAGCTGCAGAAAGGCCTGGGGAAATGCACACTGCTCACAAACTGTGCAATGAGTACCAGGGGCCTTTTTCCAACAGCTGCTTATGTGCTAACAGATTGCAGCACTAAAACAGATGTGACATAGATAAAGTTTGGGGATTTCTTCGCCCCACTCTGACAAAGATGGATAACTTTTGCTGCACAATGCACTCCTATGGTGTATATAGTATAGGTGTAGGTTTTTCTGTGCGTCCTTGGCAGATTCATGGCCACTGTTTAATTACTGTAAAATCCAGCAAATATATTATTATTTACAGCCCGTGAATGAGCATCCAAGGTGACTTTATAGAAGAGGTAAAATGACAGCGTGACAACTGAATATAAAGATGAAAAATGCAAGTATCTAATTATCCAAATGTCACAACAGTGCTCCAAGGATGGGGACAATGTTAAAAAAAATAAAATGTACTTCTTAAGACATATTATATAGTTGCTAATTTGTAAGATTTTTTAAAATATATTTTCAGAAAACCTCAGGAATGGTGCAAAGAATAAACAAGTACATTTTGGAGGTTAATGGATTGAGTGCTTTTCTAGTTAAAGTCTGCATCTTAAAAGTACTCACTTTACTCTTATATAGCTTAACTTAGTAAAATTTTACTTAAAGTTTATGTAATGCTGACACACTTTACTGGGTTTATCTGCACTTTCATGCAATTACCAATAGAAATTACTGTGGCAAGCCATATTACTACACATCAGCACATGAAGGAGATGTTAAAAAAAACAAAACAAGCGGTGTCGAAAGGCCCAGGTGGCACCCCCTGACTTTTTGAATCAAGATGGCAAAACAGAATTGAACAACCAATTCAAATTTTGTATAGATCGGACTTAATATGTGCAAATGGGGGCAAGTACTTTGCACATCAACGCCCCCAACACATTCAATTATGTAGTCTTATAACATTTGTTGAGTTTTGGTGTTTGTTCAGTAAACATTTCTTTCTTTCTTTCAAGAACTTTTCAGAAAAAGCCGCTAACTTAACTCCGTTAGCATCAAATCCCTTCTGCCACTTCCGCCGGGCGTCACCGCAGACCAGGACTTCTGGTCCGAACACCCCTAGCGTCGGAAATTTAAAGAATGTGCGTCAAGTGCGCGTGGAAGCTGCGTTCCAGTGTCGGCGGTCTGAACGCCCCATAAGACCTCAATCATTTCACTGTGTACTGGAGCAGGAGTAAAGCTATTTTGTGCCTCTGGTACAGATTTATCAGTGTTTGGGCACATGCTGTCGGGCAAGCAATAGGCCAGGGGTGCTCACACTTTTTCAGCATGCGAGCTACTTATAAAAGAATCAAGTCAAAATGATCTACCTACTACAAAAATGCAAATCACATATTTATTTCAAAAAATATTCTTTATACCTACAATGTATGTTTATGTACATGCAAAACCGCATGAGCCAATATAGCACAACACAACACAATTACCTATGTACATTTTTTGTCATTACCCGAGTTTACTCTGATGACTTGCACTGAATTGAATCGGCCAGGGATGCATAGTCTGGAAAATTGGTGGCAACTCGCTGACAAGTTTGTCGTGGTTTTACTTTCCTGCACTGAGCGCGGTTGTTTGCGCATGTGCAGTCACCTAAGTGTCAGTAAAACATTACTGAGTAAAACACAGATGTCATTTGACTGTGGTGCCATGTCCATGTGCCGAACCTGTTTTTTTTAAATCCAAATATTTCCCCTCCTCAGTTTATAAAATAATTTGCATCCACACATCTGCGTTATCAATCACATTCGTAACATTCCAAACATGTGCGTCTCTTACGTCCTGTCCTGCGTTGGGGAAAAACACAGAAGTGGGCGGAGCTTTGATGCAGACGCCGGTAACGGCACTTTTACAGTCATAGAAGACACTCAGAGTAAAGATGTATGTTTACAAGCACTGACCCCGTCCTCAGCCCTGGTTTAGTCCTGGTTTAGTCCTGGTTTGGTTGTTTTCGAGCGTGAGTCCCCGCGATCACTTTGCTGCTCTCTGATGTGGAGGATGTTTGCTGCTGCGAGCATCTCACAGCGAACAGTTTTTAAGGTAGTATGATCCATGCTTCAGTGATCAGAGGAATTTAGGGGGGTACTTTGGTGTGCGAGAACGCAAAACTCCGGTTATCTCTGTCTACACACAAATGCATTAATGGAGTTTTCAAAAATCTCCACTTTGCCCGGAGTTTTTTGTATATATTCGTTTAGAATGTGTAATTTTTTATTTATTTAATGCGATCTACCAATACTACCTTTGCGATCGACTGGTAGATCGCGATCGACGTATTGAGCACCCCTGCAATAGGCCCTTACCCCTAATAAATAGGGATTTTTTGTTGTATTTTTTTGTATTGTTGTCAGCCTATTGAAAACATAGCCATAAAGCCAGGGGTCTCTAGCCCCCCTAAATATCTCTCCAAAGGACTTATAATTTTTGAATAATAAAATCAGTGGCGTGAGCGTGGTCAGTCTGAGCGACCTGCCATGACGACAGGGCCGGAGTGGGACAACATTTCAGGCCGGGAGCTTTTCATCCATTCAGCCCCCCCCCAAAATAAGCATTCATACACTAAATGGAACACACACTCACTCACTCTCACACACACACATTTTTATTAGGGTTGGGCGATATGGGCCTCAGCATGTATCACGATTTTTGTTGGTATGTATCACGATATGACGATATGATAATTTAAACAAAGCCTCATATAAAAGCTATAAAAACTTAGCACTGATAATTTTAAACACACTTGCCTCAAAGTGCATTTACCGATTTATTGGCAGCAAAATGTGCAATACAGCT